GCCTTTTTGTTTGTTGGAGGCATGCGCGTGTATCTATATATCCATTTAGCTGGCGAGCATAAGGAGGACTGAGGTTCTTGTTTTTTGGGTAAGGTAGTTGGTTGGGTTTGAAGAGGTTGAAGAGCAAAGCACAGGAATCTGACATTCAACAACTTCGTTTGAACTACTCATATTTTCATTATATGCGTGTCCGTCATTGAAAACACCTCAAAGAAGAGAGACTATCGGGGGCGAGCTTACTAACTGAATATCTCGAGTATGGAACACGGTAATCAAGGGGCAACCCCACCAGGGCCAGTAGTCAGACTGGCTGTATCTCTCTGAACCAGGCGTCAAACTTGTCGGTTTCCATTAGCAAACAACCAACCCTCTTCCCCTTCTCCTGACCAAAGCAGCATGACTCACATCCATCTCCAACATTGCCCAGTTTGTGAGGGGAAAAAATCAAAAAAATCAGCAGGAACACTCCCAACACGAGAACAGTCAAGTGACACCATCACCACCCTTCCCAACTAAAAAGTTATGAGAAATGATGTTACCCTCCGTAAAGGAGGTCTTGTATAATCCTACCCTACTTGTACTACCACCCAAATATCACACAAACATCTTGCCACTTCTATGGATAGAAACAGTCAACTGTAGCCGCTATCTAATATAATATTATGAATCTCCCTTCTGCCTGTCTGGCTGTCCCATCACTATGCACTCGCACCCATAATGTAAACTTTTTTGTTGATTCACCTGGGTGTCTCGCTGAGAAAAAATGACAAACTAATAACTGAACAGCAGTGACTAGAACAAGGGCCTCGGCCACCAGTGATAGGAAATATGAAAACTGATACAAAACTCCAAGAATCAGAAAACCCATCTCCTTTCCTCCATCCCATCCCATCATCCCTTGCAGAACAGATATCAAAAGCAGACATTTGTTGGCCGACACGCCAACCATGTAGAGATATAAACCCAACCCTGAAAACTCCTTGTAAAAACATATATGAAAACGCGATCAGACATGATCCACACCTGCGCTGTGCTGTTCGTCCGAACCCTCTGTGTAATCCCACACCTAAAATATTAAGCATATCCTCATTCCTTCCATCCCATCTCTGGCCTAGTAGCTTACTTTGCCCCGTTAGCCTTCCCCTTCGCCTTCGGTTTGTTGGTAATATCATTCACGGAATACCGGCTATCACCGTCATCCCCAAAAAGCACTTGGTCGCCCTTTCCTCCTAGTTGGGAAAACTCATCCGGGCCTCTGGCATCGTCTGGTCTGGGCTCTTTCTTGGGTGTGGTTTCTGGGTTCTTGGTATAGACCTTGACGTCGGGCTTGTCGCCCCCTGGGATCTCGTTGACAACTTGAACAGTGTTAATCGAGGCTAACAATGTCCGCTCTCTCTGGACACCGCGGCGCGTAACATCCAAGCCCTGGATGCCGCTGACAAGACCATTAGTGCTGTCATTGACACCAGGTGTCTTCATTGTCATCCAGGGATGAGCCAGGCACTGATCTACTGTGAAACGCTTCTCTGGGTTGACGACTAGCATGGAGTCGATGAGATCCACTACACAGTTGTTAGTCCATCCTGTCCAACTATTTGTAATACAGGGAAATGGCTACTTACAAGCAGGATCACCAACTGGGTCCCAGTAGGGTGATGGGTAGTCGAATTTCCCTTTCCTGATCTGCTCAGACAGCGAGTATGGGAATGCAGCACTGGTGAGTTCGTCCGAAAATGGGGGGAAGCCGCACAGGCAGATATAAAGCACCACACCTAGTGACCAGATGTCAACAGCCTTGGTGTACTTGCGGTTCCGGGTATCTGCTAGGATCTCTGGTGCCACATAGCTAGGCGTCCCACAGAGTGTTGTCGTGAAAGATTCCTCTCCGATGATCTTGGCCAACCCAAAATCTGCCAACTTGACGTGCAAGTCACGGTCCACCAAAAGAATGTTCTCTGGCTTGATGTCTCTGTGCACAATGTTCCGATCGTGCAAATACTTGACACCCTGAAACAATTGGGTGAACAGCTTCCGGCATTCGGACTCGCTCAGTTTCTGCTTCTTCACAATGTAGTTGAACAGCTCTCCTTCCGGCGCAAGCTCCAGCACCAGATAGACGGCATTGGGTTCGTTGAAGGTGTCCTTGAGGCATAGAACATTCGGGTGGCTAACACCCATGAGCATCGCAATTTCTTGCTGGAGGCCTTCGTTTTTCGATCGCTCTTCCACCCCTGGCGTCTTGGTGAAGACTTTGACAGCATAGCGCTGCCCTGTGGATTTCTCAATGCAGAGATATACTTCGGCAAAATGGCCCTTTCCCAGCTTCTCGATGGGCGTGTATTGCTGTAAGAAGGCATTGGCATGTCGGTTTTTGGGATACCGGAAAATGAACCTGGCCTTGTCCATGACAGCAATTTCGTCATACTCCTTAAGCTCACGCCGTTGGTTCCGCCCAACGAGCTGATCATTGACGTATGTGCCATTGCTGGAAAGATCCTCGATAATCACAACTGTGTCGTTTCCCTTGTGTTCCGTAAACAAAAGACAATGACGGTTCGAAACTATCGGATCATCAACTTGGATGTCTACTGACTGTCAGTCTTACCGCCTTCCACAGTAGTAACTGTGCGTTGGAAACCTACCGCATTCGGGGTGTCTCCCAATGAGATAACCGCCAGAGGAGAGCCCTTTCCCTGACTTCTGCTTCTGATCGAAAGCCTCCTGCTCTTTGAGAAGAGCCCCCCTGCCTTTTCTAGCAGGCTGTTTTGCCCCGGAGACGGCGCCGGCCACGGTTTCTGAAGGAGGGCAAGACCCTCTCTTCCTCATCACCACACAGGTGCCTCCGTAACGGGTGTCCATAGGAAGTAGGTATCCCCAGACCCCTTCCTTTACCTCATCTTCCACCTCATCGGAGAGCGGTGCGTTGGGGTCTACGTGTGTCTGACTGAACGCTTGCGTGTCCTGGGGAGGAGAACTGAGGGCCGCCACTTGAGAATGCATGTACTCGTCGCGACGCTGGGAGACGCGGCCCTCTGAAGGTGTCGCCGTGGCTTCCTTGGCAAACTCATCGGTTCCTTCGCTCGTCAAATGTGTCACCGGTGATGGAAGATGCTGTTTGTTGATGACTGGTGTCTTGACCAGGTCGTTGTCGGTGCGCTGCGAGAGTCGCTCGGACCGGCGGGGCTTCTTGAATGATTCAGAGGGGGCATCGTCGCCCGTAGAGCCCTGAAGGAGAAGAGAGATTAATCGGCGGAACATGTCGATGTATGACAGTGACGCCATAGAAGAAGAGGGTACATACAGCGCGACCTCGCTTGAGCTGACTGGCCTCAGATCGTGGAGCCATGACGGCGTGGGCTGTATATGAGCCTGTAATAGTGTGATTAAGTAGCAGGTGCGACAGTCGTTAAATAGGCAGACAGCCAAATGGGGTCGACTGGGCGGGTGAGCTAGGTAATGGATGTCAGGAAGGAATGGTGTGCACGTTGTGGTTCCTGCCTCAAGAAATCATAGCATCACTCGCGGGAGCTTGGTAAGGAACGAACCGCGCCTCAGCGCCTCAGCGGCCTCTTGGTGTACACAGTGCGCTAGGCTCCAATGAGCACCTCCAATCGCCGGCTGACTCAAGGGACCGGGGTCTACGATCGTCGAGGGTGGACAAAATAACAAGTATCGCCAGTTCCTAAAGACGTCAAGCAATGGTCGAAAGTTCTTGTACAACTGTCGTGAGGTGTCAAGCGTAGCTGAAAGGGCGTGAAGAGATAGGTTAAGGGCATCGCGCGGCAAGTGTTGGAAGACATTTATTTGAAAGGCATTGAAAAAGGTCTGCCTAGCGTTGGAAGATGGTAGGTTGAAGATGCCAAGGCGCTAAAGGACCGTTGAAAGGCTTCGAGAGTAAGGGAAATGCCTTCGAAATGGTCCATCAAGCTTGTTCAAGGCAGTTGGAAGGTGGCTCCGTCGAGAAATTGCGAGAGAGCACACACCTCATTGCGGCAGTTCCCAATTTCTTGTCCACAGTCAACACTTGCAGTGGGCTTTCGAATGACCCGCCGCAACCAGGATGCTTAGCTGATGCAGGGGCTGACACCGAGGGCGTGCCGTTGTCTTGCCGTAGGGCTGGTCATGTCCAGATCTCTGGGGTCAAGTGGGCTTCGCACTGAAAGTTTGATGTGACTCCTTTGGACTGTCAGCTGTTGCCTTTGATGTTGATTTTTCAAGATTTTCTGAGACTTCAAGACCCAAATCCCAAAGTCTGCTCGCCCAGCAACCCCTTCTTCTGACCCTTTATTCTCGGTCAACAGCACCTCGTGGCTTTTCTTGAGGGCCAGTCAGCGTGGGAGACCCGCCCCTTTAAGCGGCAGACCGGCAGCTGTCAAGCTCCGCCTCTGCAAAGAAACCAGCTCGTGGCTTGACTTACACCAAATGTGGCGCAAGGAAGCCCCGTTCCACTTCATAATGTCGGTCGAGGCAGGGTTGACATCTGGAGCTCAGCAGTTCGAAGCGGTTGGTATTTTTGCATGAGAACTTGTCGACTTTTATTCCCTGATCCTGCGAAGAGATAGTTACTGAGGCTTGGGAGAGTTATAGTGCTGGTGATCCCTTCAGAATACCATTAGTGTTTGCTGATATCATCGATGGCCAGTTTTGAGCCTGATGTTTCTGGCCAGCATCTCACGCTGTTGGCTGGAGTTGTCGCTGAAGAAGGAGCTATTGTTGCGCCCACTATTGTCGCCATGCTATTGTTGACAAAAGTGACTTCAAGTGAAAGCTCAGGCTGGCGATACTGCCCCGCCTTCTACTACAAGACTAGCGCCTCTCGCTTAACTATCTTCTTATCGCCTAGCGCCATTTTCACGTGATTTATCGCCCACAGATCCAGAGAAAAATGGCATTGAATGCGGGGCAACAAGATTCTGCCGCCTCAGGGTTTGACAAGGCGAAAGCAGCAGAGGGCCAGGAATCGACAAAGAAAGTGCTCCCACCAGTCCGAACCCTCCCGTCGGGCCCCCTACCGCCCTACGAGTCTCTGGATGCGATTTCTCCGCCAGCAATACCAGAAGATTTTCACGATATCGGTCGGTCCAAGCCCCTCTCTGACCTCCATTCCGACCGTACCCCATCCGATTTGAGCGACTACTCGGACCACAACACTACCAAGTACACCGACTCGGTCGTCAAAGGCGCCGCACTTTTTCTCGAATTTTACGGCTTATCCTACACCCCCCACGCCGACAACACCGCGAGAATGGCTTCCCCTCAGCTGATTTTTGTCGATGGCACCTTCGCCGAGCTGGCCCAGGAGATGGCCGACTACATCCAGGCCAACTCGGCCAAGACTGAACATGCCGTCCAGGTTGGCGACGAGGTCAGACCCCTGTTGGAGAAGGAGAAGAACGAGGATGCTCTCGAGGCTATCGTCAAGGCCTCCGGCGTATTGAATACGGTTCCCGAAAAGGAGTTCACTGGTGCCATCAACCTCCTTATCCACCTTGTCCTCCAGTCCAACGAGCCCAAGAGACATCTTCCTGCTGTCTGCAGCAACCTTCTCAAGCCCATCACATCCTCGCCAAGCCACGGCTTCACCCTTGCCGCGAGCGCCCTCAGCACCATCTTCAACCTCCTGGATAAGACGAACCCTGTCCGGTACAATGTTTTCTTGCAGATCATCCGCTTCATTCGCCAACACGGCCAGTACGAGCTTCTCAAGCCCCGGTTAAAGAACTTGGAGGCGTGGTTTGCCGATTGGGAGACCAACGCGGAGGATCAGCGCAAGCTCTATATCGATGTGGCTGATGCCGCTGCTGAGGCTGGCGATGATGAGTGAGTATCAACAGGAGCCATGCCAAAAGATTACTGGCTAACTAAATTTTCAGGGAGTCATACCACTACATTCTGAAGGCCCTCTCCACCTTTGAGCGCGAGGAAGCCGAGGGCGAGGAGGCCCAGAAGTATTCTCTCAAGGCTCTCAAGATGGCCATTTCTTCCCCCACCCGGTTCGACTTCCAGGATCTCCGTGCCCTCCCAAGCGTTCAGGCGCTTAGCGACTCTCAGCCCGTCTACTCTCAGCTTCTCGACATCTTCACTGAGCAAGATCTTGAGGACTACAACGACTTCAGAGAGGAGCACGAGGGTTGGATCGAGAAGGAGAAGCTTGACCACGAGAAGCTGCAGCGCAAGATGCGCCTGCTTACTTTCGCCAGTCTCGCCGCCAGCACGCCCAACCGCGAGATCCCGTACGCCAACATCGCTAAGGCTCTCCAGATCCCCTCTGAGGACGTTGAGATGTGGACAATCGATGTTGTCCGCGCCAAGCTTGTCGAGGGCAGACTGTCTCAGAAGCAAAAGGTCTTCCTTGTCCACAGAACCACCTACCGTGTTTTCGGTGAGAAGCAGTGGCGCGAGTTGGGCACGAGAATCGACCAATTCAAGCTGGTTGTTGACCGTCTCACCAGCACTGTGCGCAGGGCCCAGGCTGAGGTTGAGCAGGCGAGGAAGGCCGAGGAGGAGCAGCTTGCTAAGAAGCTCGCTGGCGCTGGTATCAGCAGTGGTAACCCGGGCGACCGTCGCCGCCAGCCAAGGCAGCGGACGGATGATGATGATTGAACGCGTGCACAGTTTTCGGGACATTTCGGGATATGAGGTGGCATCAGGGACATGGCATATGATCTCTCCTTGGGGCGACCTAGAGTAATTAACTTGGTTTGGCCCTTTCTGGCGTTGAGAACCAAAATGGCTGGGCGGGGTTTATATCTAGACTCCTTTTTAAACGGGTTGCTTTTATTACATCCACGCGAGTAGATATCCAGGGTCCCATAAAATTCATCACTTTGGCTGCAAAACAACGGGTTGGGCTGGGATTAGAGGGCGTGCTGAGTGACATGGACATAGCGATTCCCTGCGTTGCGGCGTTGCATATTTAAACAATCATAGTTCAGAGTTGATTCCTCTCATGTGAAGAGTGATCGGTACCTACTTGAGCATCGTGTGCCACTGCAGCTGCGGTCAATATGTTCCTGTAGAGGACATAATCTCTTCTACGTCTCTACTATAGACTTTTCAACTTCGTATCCATGGCTTTGAAGACACAGTAGAGAGGCACGTGATTCTGTGAATATTTCTCACTCATGGTTGCTCATCTCATCACTCTTTCAACTACATCGTCAACTCAAGTCTACCTCAACTCACCACCGCCACCGAACATCAATACCATCACCTCCATTTTACCACAATATTCACTGTTTTACGCCCCCCCAAATGGACACACCACCACCACGAAACCACTACACCACCCTCTCCCTCCCCCCCTCCCTCTTCTCCAGCGGCCTCACCCCCGAAGAGATAAAACAAACCCTCAAGAAATCCTACCGCCGCGCCCTGCTGGCTCACCACCCGGATAAATCAACCACCTCCTCCCCATCAGTGACGATAGACGAAATAACACTAGCCTACACCACTCTCTCCACCCCCTCCCTCCGCCAAGCCCACGATCTATCCCTCTCCTCCTCGGGTTCTGGCCCAGCAGCGCTAGGGAGACATAAACTCCAAACCGGAATCGAAACAATCGACTTGGACGACCTCACTCATCATGAAGGGGAGGAGGAAGATGAGTGGTACAAACCCTGCCGGTGCGGCAACCCCAAAGGATTCCTAGTTCACGAATCAGATCTCGAAGAGGCGGCAAATGGAGGGTTGGAAGAGGTTGTCGTCGGCTGTCAGGATTGCAGTTTGTGGCTCAGGGTTGTCTTTGGTGTTGTTGTTCAAGATCAAGATCAGGAGGGGGAGACTCCAGAACAGAAAAAGGGGGAGACACCTGCTGCGGAGAGGAGGTGATACTACGGAATGGGCGGAATAGACGGGTGGGCAATTACCCATTTGACACGCACACATAATACATCATTCTCGAAAAGACAGAGATTCTGCAACTCTGATAAACAAACTGGCTGGTCATGCAATGATGCCTTTTCTTTGTACCCGAGTTTCCAAACTCTATAGCTGGCATTGTATAGTTGGCGGTGATGAGTAGGGCACCGGGTTATACTTAACCTCACGTACGTCTTTGAACGGAACAGGGAACAGCCTGTGGAGTCTCAAGATGTCGGAGTCCTCCAGAATGTCACCTATCAATATCACAGCGAAGGCCATCTCTGGACTCATCACAAATAGGTGAGATGAAAGCCGAGTCTCAAGACCCACCCAAAGTTGAGAGCATGCAGCTGGCTACGTCACTCGCTCTTTTCGAGTCAGGGGTGGAGGATCTCAATGTTGATCTGGATCTCCAGCTAGATCACCAAGATGTCTCAGGGCCTCGTTGTGATCCACTAAGGAAGGACACCAAAGAATGCAAGCAAAACACCGTCACGAGGAAAGCAATCACTTGGGTATATCAGAATCTATAGGGCAACCTAAGGGTGCAAAAGACTGCCGATTACAAGCCAAGTATAAAAAGTACTGCCGTGTGGGGGAAGGGGTTTTGGATTTTCTTGTCCAGACGGTCTTCCCGTCTCGAAGAGTCTAAAAGGCAAGCAGGGTGAGAAAGGAAAAGCAAAACCCTCCGTGTATGCTGCGCTCTAGCCCTCAAGGTACCGCGAATCACCGCCTCATACAAGTCCTCCTAAGTCTGTATTTTGCCTAAACACATGCAACGACCCGAGAGCATCTCCAGTCCGCACTCCAAAGACACCGTTTCCGCCGAGGGGATTCACCAACGATAAACCAGGGTTATCACTATCAAGAGACAAAGAAAACAAACGACAAATTTTACTCGGCAGGCTTGGGAGCCTCCTCGGCCGGGGCATCGGCAGGCTTGGGCGCCTCCTCAGCGGCCGGGGCATCAGCAGCGGCAGCAGGAGGCTCGGCCTCGGATGAGGTCCAGAGAGTCTGCACATAATCGTTAGCACGTCGCACCGCCTCGTCTAGATCGGACTGCACATACCAAATTGTCGCGGAGCAGCTGCATGATAAGGGTGCTGTCCTTGTAGCTCTCCTCGCTCAAGGTGTCGAGCTCTGTAGTCAACATCGTCAGTACCTATACCTCCTTGCTTACTTTGACCCTACGTACCGGCGATGGCATCATCGAACGCCTGCTTGGCGAGATGGCAAGCCTGGTCGGGAGCGTTCAAGATCTCATAGTAGAACACGGAGAAGTTGAGGGCAAGACCAAGACGGATGGGGTGAGTGGGAGGAAGCTCGGTCTGGGCAACCTCGGTGGCAGCCTTGTAGGCGTCGAGGGACTTGTCGGCGGAATCCTTGCGCTTGTCGCCAACGGCGAACTCGGCGAGGTAACGATGGTAGTCACCCTTCCTGTGCGATTGTTAGAGGCATACAAAAGCCGAGAATCGAGGGGCACGAACATCTTGTGGTAAAAGACCTTGGACTCGCCAGTCTTGGCGGAAGGAATGAGGTGCTTGTCGAGAACGGAGAGGATGTCCTCGCAGATCTTGGCCAGCTCGGCCTCAATCTTCTGGCGGTACTCCTTGATAAGGCCGACCTGGGTAGAGTTGCCCTTGGACTCCTCCTTCTGCTCAATCGAGGTGACAATTCTCCACGAAGCGCGTCTAGCACCAATGACATTCTTGTAGGCGACGGACAGAAGGTTCCTCTCCTCAACGGTGAGGTCACGGTCCTCGGAGGCAACGATCTTCATGTTCTCAACCATCTCTGTTGGGCGTCAAATCGTCAGAATGCGACCCTGCAAACGCCCAAAATCATCTTGACAAACGTACCCTCATAGCGCTCAGCCTGCTCGGCGAGCTTGGCGAGGTAGACAGCATCTTCATGACCCATTTTGTCGGTTTTGATGATTATCTGTGTAAGTTGAGTGGTAAGTTAGCGCGCGTTGGTTCAGAGACTGTCCAAGGCAGCAGGGCAATGTAGGTAATCGGTGAGCTCCGCCTTCGAGGGTGAATGTGTGTTGAATGTCGGTCGTGATGGGCAAGTGCGGGCGAACAAGGAAGAATTGTAAAATAATGGCAGGAAGCAAGTGTCGGTCGTTCTGGACAATCTCAACAGGCTTGCGATAGGCATGCGATTGCGCAAGCACCGTGCTGACTTCATGGCTTGGGCAAGCAAAGGATGCTCCCCGCTCTCGGTGGGGCATGCGCAGCGCAGCCCTGTCCAGGCCTTGGGCGTCGTTCGTGTGTTGGCCGCCGAAAAGGGGCAATTGAAGATGCCATGAGCTCGCCGCGTCCAGGAGCCCTCTCTCGATGCCGTCTTCCACAACTCATCGTCCAGAGGAGGCATATGGTCGCAGTGGCGATGACGACAGAGGGGCCAGGTTTTGGTGTTGCAGCGGTGCAGCTGGTAGATGCAGCGGAGGCGGATGGGGGGGGGGAGACGGGGGGACGGGGACGGCAATGCTGCAGACTCACCTTCGGTAGAACTAAGGAATCGAGTAATGTGTGTTGTTCTGGGGAGAGCGCAGAGTTCGCGGAGCGAGGTTCGTGAGTAGAAAGTTGGTGGACAGTGGACGATGTCTAACGTCTGAAGGTTTGGGGATGAAGGGTGGAAATGAGTAGAGTCACCGGTTTTGGATGCAAAGTTGGAAATGAGGGAAGGGGCAAGGCGGAAAGCACCAGCGACAACCACAAGGCGAGCGGGATGCCGTGGGTGGGCTGGCCTGGACGGGGTGACGACCAGTGAAATTTGGGTGGGCGAAGGGGCCTGTGCAAAAGCCCCTCTGCCCCCCCCCCCTTGTCCACTCCTGTTTAGGACCCGATTACCACCCGATGGAAAGATCAACACGTGACAAGTCAAACGACGCGCCAGGCCCAAGTACGTCACTGCTTTGACTTGACTGGCATCAGCCAGCGCCAACTTGCGACATTCAGGAGTGGCGTCTCTGAAACTTGCTGCCTTGTCCCAATCCTAATGTCAAGACACATCGCCATAAAAAGAAACACCGAGCCACATCCCATCAGAGAAGTCCCAGTCCAGCATCACCCTCCAACCCCCAACATAGACAAACCCCCAAGGTTTATTTGCTCTTACCTACAGTTTATTATGGCGGTCAGGCATATGCCAACACACAGAGGGGTCGGGCAGCCAGTTCCACCGACCACTACCTGGCATCGGTTAAGACAGATTTCTAGAACGTTCAGCAGTCAAATCGTGATCCTATATATCAGATTGGGACCCTTCACATTCCTAGGTCGGCTCCTACACGACTGCAATGCTTGCTCGGAATGAATTGCAAATATGGCTCAGAATATCAACGCCGATGAAACAAGCGAATCCTTTTTGTCATTGCTAACTTGATCTATCTCAGCCTTGCCTGGGGTGCTTTGGGCATTGGAGATAGGACTATCGAGAGTGGCTATGTAGAATGATTAAGCAAGCCACAGTATGTTGACTCTCACGAGCCAAGGCCGAGAACACTTCCCATACGACCTGAACCCAGCCAGTGTTCTAGAGCTATTCTATCGGTGCCAACATGAGAGGTTGAGAAACTGAGGAGATACAAACTGCGGGGCAACGGGTATCCCCGCAAAATGAACATCAAAGCTCCGTTGCCTGTCAACAACAGTGTCTGCCGCTCATCAGTGGGGTGATTGCCTCAGGCCACCCCGTCATAGCCGATACGAACAAGGTGGGCTGTACAAAACAGTGGGGCCATCAACCTCGAACCCGCCGTCTTGTCCCGCTTCGACGGAAGCTTTGACGTCCACTCGACCTGCTGGGAACTCCCGAAGGTAGAAAAGCTCTCCACTTCCTCTTTGAAGCTTACCTGCTCAAACTTGTGATCAGACCATCGGTTCTCCCCAGAACTACTCCGTCATCTCAAGAAACTGAAAACAATTGTTCCCAGTTGTAAGATCCTCCTCTCTCTCTCTCTCCCTCTCCCAGTCATTGAACAAATCACCGGCATATAATATTCAAGACCAATTGCAATCTGCTGACACCTTTCTTTCTAACTCTCAAAGACGACCCCCACAACACCAATCACAATGCTTCGCACATCATTCACCAAGGTCGCCCGCCCGGCGCTCTTCTCCCGCTCGTTCGCGATTACCTCGCGCGCCATGGCTGCTGGTGACACCGGCGCTCCCCCCAAGACCGGCGGCCAGGGGTACGTTCATCTTCCTTCTACCTCAATAACATAATGACGCACCCGGCCCCTCCAACAATCACGAAGGAATACAGACACGAGGTTATGCCGGAGCTCGCGGGGGGAAGAGAGGAGCTCTACGGATGAGGATTTAGAGCAAAGCAGGGTCATGACATCAACCTCCCTAGCTCCCTGGCCCGAGCCGAAGCTCCCTCCCCCTCTGCAGCCAGGTGTATCCCGGCGGCCACTCCGGCTCAGGCATACCCCTCCTATTTGTCTCCAAACTACCACGCATATCAATCACAAAAACCAGGGAAGAATACATAATCAGCTAACATCGTAAACGAAACAGTGATGCCTTCCAGCGCCGCGAGAAGGCCCAGGAGGACTTTGCCATCCGCCAGCGCGAGAAGGAGAAGCTCATCGCCCTCAGACAAAAGCTCAGGGAGCAGCAGGACCACCTCCAGAAGCTCTCTGACCACATGTCAGTAGTCAGGCTCTATTATACCCTTGAACTCCCTGTACTGATGTATTCAAAAACAGCGACGAGATCACCAAGGAGCAGGGTGGCGAGCACAACTAAATATTTATCTACAAGGTTAATAACCACGCGCTCTTCTCGGCTTGGCTGTCAAACTCCAATTTGCCCAGCCACATCATCACTCAATGAAATCATGGCACCAACCATGAACAACAGCCAGGAAAGAAAGAGGAGAGAGAATAGGAAGATAATGAGTTGACATGAATTGTGAACTCAGTTGTACGAGTACATAGCCTTTTTTTCTGCTCTTGACTTTGTCTACCTGCTTGATTTTGCGATCAGCACGGCCTTGTCTTTGCACGCAAATTCGAAAAAAAGCAGACGTGAACAAATCTACAAATCACTTATCTCTGCCAAAGGCCCAGTGATACCCTCAATCTTGTTAGCTACCAAAGCTACCGGTATCAAAAAAATCTAACAAAACTTTCCATTTAACAAAAAACTCCCTCACACAAAACCCTCAACACCCATCCACCCACCCACTCCAAATGATACCCATCATTTGTGTTGTTGTTGTTGTTGTTTGTTGACCGCTAATACTCCGGGGCAACTTTTCCACCCCCCTTCCTGTCGAGGACTGATTACATATTTCCATCATCTCCCCGCCATTCCTTCAACCCCATCATGATGATTTTACTTGAAACCGCCCCCCCGATAGGACCGATAAAAGCTCTCGGCAGCATTGCTCTCCGTCTCCTTGACACTCCCACCGCCCATATTCCCCGTCGTCTTCTGCGCGGCCTGGACCTTGGCCTGGAGAGCCTTGGCGTTGGTGTCGATCCACTGCAGTTGCGTCAAGTGGCTGTTCAAGACGCGGACAATCTGAGAGAGCTACACAATTCAAAAGACATCAGTAAACCATCAGCAGACAAGGGGTTATACACAGAACAAAACATACCGGATCATCACTCATCCCTCCCCTCCCCAAACTCCCACTCATGTCATTAATCTCCTTGATCATCTTTGTCAAATCCTTGCCCATATCGTCCAGCCGATCCGTCAGCTTCTCCGCCAGCTTGTACGTTCTCTCCCTCTCCTGATCCGGCCCCGTGATCTGCTCCTCCCGCGCCAAATTCACCCCCTGCTTGGCATACAGCTCGTCCAGCTCCTGCTCATACCTGTCCAGCCAGGCCCCCAGCTCCTCCTGCTGGCTCTCCACCCCCTGGAGCTGACGCTCAATCTCGTTGCTGGCGCGCTCCGCTTCGTGGGTGGAGTTGAACAGGCGCTGGATCTTCTCGCCGTTTTCGACGAGCATGCGATCCCACTCCGAGACCTTGTTGGCTTGCTCTTTGAATTCCTTTTGGTATTTGGACAGGTCTGTCGCCCAGCGGGTGATGATCTCGTCCATGGTCTTGTTCTTGAGACGGGGGAGCTGGGAGGTGGGGCCGAGGGTGGAAGCTGTGAGGTTGGCGGCTGTCTGGGCTGGGTTGGAGGGTGTGAGGCCGGGGGTGGTGGTCGTGGTTGTAGCCGCGGGCTTGGGTCCGAAGAGACCTCCAGCTGCGGGAGCGGAGGAAGTAGCAGCAGCTGTGGTGGCAGCAGGCGCTGTGGTGCCTGCCGCGGGAGCTCCGAAGAGACCCCCGGTTGCCGGGGCCGTGGTAGCGGCTGGTGTGGCGGAGGTAGTAGCCGCCGAGGTGGTCGCCGGGGTTCCCGTTCCGAACAGAGTGCCGGCTGGCTTGGAAGCACCCGCTGGGGCCGTAGTAGTAGCAGCTCCAGCACCAAAGAGACCCTCGGCCGCTGGGGCCGTAGTGACAGCAGCAGTTGTCGCGGCGGGAGCAGTAGTTGCAGCAGGGTTTGAGAAAAGACCACCAGCTGCCGGTGTCGAAGCAGCAGGGGCGGTGGTGGCAGGAGCTGCAGTGGTAGCCGGCTTGGGTGCAAAGAGATTGCTGGCCGCCGGGGCGGTTGTTGCACCAAATAGGCCCCCGGCGGCCGGGGCAGTAACAGCAGGCTTTGTCGTGGTATTAGCCGTCGAGAACAAACTACCGGCTGCTGGCTTCGCGGCATCCGCTGGAGGAGCGCCGGCTGGGGTAGTTGAGCCTAATCCACCGGCGGCGGCACCACCGAACAATGGCTTAGCGGGAGTTGATGTAGCACCAGCACCTGTGGCCCCCGCAAACAGACTTCCTCCACTGCCGCCGGCACCTGCAAACAGTGAGCTACCGGCTGGTTTCGCGGCGGCGGCAGTCGTTGGTGTGGTCGACGCACCCCCAAACAAACCCCCAGCAGCCGTTGTTGGTGTCCCTATAGTCGTGCCAGAGGCGGCAGGAGCAGCACCTCCAAAAAGCGGCTTCGCTGGAGCGGCAGCAGTTGCACTGTTAAACAGGGACGATGGAGCTGCTGTCGTGGCGGCCGGGGCAGCAGTCGAAGCACCTCCAAACATCGCCCCAGTAGTTCCAGTCGTCCCTGTTGTCCCAGCAGGCTTGGCGAATAAACTGCCTCCTGCTGAAGCCCCAGCACCCCCTCCAAACAGGCCTCCTCCGGTGGCAGGCGCTGCAGTCGAGGCTCCGGCGGTGCCAAAAAGACTCCCAGCCGGTTTCGCGGCGCCGGCGGCTGTTGTGTTGCCAAAAAGACTACCGCCGGCTGGTGTGGTCGATCCGGCCGCGGCTGAACTTGAGTTGCCGAAAGAGAATGATGGAGTTCCTGTGGTTCCTGTAGCTCCTGAAGCTGCTCCGAATATGCTACCCCCAGCCGGCGCCGCTGAGGTGTTCGCCGCACCCGAGCCAGCGTTGGATGATGGTGTGCCGAATGTGAAGGACATGTTTACGGTCGTGATGCTTCCGATCGACGATGGCAAGTCTGGGAAAAGGACGGAGTGTTGAGGTTGGCGACTTAGAAGAGAGGCGATAAGAGCTCCAAGCAGCCCAACACAACCCCAGTCGCTTGGAGAGGCAGCTAAGGGAGAGCGCAAAGAGAGCACCCTTTGGTCGCGATGTCGAGCTTTGTTGATGCAATTGGCCTTGTTGATGGAATTCCGAGACGTGCCGCAGCTTTGATCGCAAGAAAGTGGGTTGAGATGTTGCTGTAGCAAAGTCGCTTCGATTGTTGACTTTTCGATGCAGAAGCGCAAAGCAGAGCAGAGCGTCGCGATTGATTGGACTTTTTGGCAGCTGTCGAACCGCGCCAGGAAAAAAGCTCCGTCAGCCTCACCAGTTGCACGCGCCCAAGGTGCCAAGCATCCACCCAACGTTGCACAGAGCACAAGGCTGAGAGTGTGCAATGCCCCACTCTCCTCCCATTCAACTAGTCTAGCGTGTGGGGCACAACCATCTCGAGCTCCGCATTGGATTCCATCGTCCCTCCACACTGCTCAACTCCAGCTCGCAAGTCACTGATCAGCCGACCTGACCTGGCCCCTCCCGATTGTCTTGTCTCTTCAGTTTACAAAAGAACTACGTCCATGTATGCGTACCCAACCTGTTCCAGAACCCTGACCCTGCTTCTGCCGCCACTTAATCGTGCATCAGGAGTGCTACCTCACCACCCTTTTGCGCACAACACAACTCCTGCAGCCTTCAAGGTTCCCCTTCCCCTTTGACCCCTCCCACCCACCTGTCTCTCAGTGAAACCGCCAACCACTAAGAAACCGTTGCTCTTTGAGGGAAAGAACATACATACAATCTTCGTTCTTCTCACAACAGACACGATGTCATCTGAAAGAAGAAACAGCTTGTCGCCTCCTGAGAGGCGTGGCACCGTTGACCCTGGTGCTCATGACCTAGGTACTATTGCCAGACTTCTTTCTACTTCTTACTTGGAAACAATGCGCGAAACTAACTTTTTCCAGCGGAATCCGATTCCGAAGAACATTATTCCGACGCCCAGTCTGGGCCAGTTGGGTCAGCGCCTCCGTCACCCATCCCGAGAACCAGAGTCGAGAGGGTCGATGACAAGCCTGCTTATGGGGAAGTCCCCGGCACCGAGGCTTACAGCAAGAGAGAAGGGGACGCCGAGCCGGACGAGATAGCTATCATCCCCGACCCCCTCGACCCAACACCCGCCGAACCGGAACGTCACGCCCGGTCTCCCACCCCTGGCGGACATCCTATTCCCAAGACAGTGGTGGAGGAGGCACCAGATGCTGAGGGCTCAGTGACACACCCGGAGGTGGAGGAGAGACACAAGTCGGATCCGCATCCGGATGTGACCATCAAGGCTGACGGGAAGAGGGTGGAAGATAATGGTACGGATGCGTAGTTCTTGCCTTTTTTTCTAGCACAGCCAGCCTGCTCTACACGCTTTCACTCTCTTTTCTGTTCTTCTATAGCTCAGCCGGTATTGACGTGTGGTTTTCCTGCGTAGATGCCCCAATATCACCGTCTTTAAGTACTCCTGTGTCGACACGCTCCAGAAGAAAGTCGTCAAATGCCAGTAAAAGACCCGCGCCACTCAGCCCCACGTCACTGGGGCCTTCCGAGGGTGGAGATGATGCGGTGGAGGGCGATGAAGATGATGATGACGACTTTGGGGATGACTTTGACGACTTTGAAGAGGGCGGCAACGACGATGACTTTGGTGACTTTGACGACGGGTTCCAACAAGTCGAGGAGACACCGCCAGCACCTCCTCCACCAGCAGCGGCGCCAGCTCCGGCCCCAGCACCAGCTGCCCCCGCCCTATCATTTGTAAGCCTTCATTGCCCATCCAACCTATATATCATATGCTGACTTTGTCCATCTCAGCCTATACCCACCTTTGACGACCTCGACCCCTCCGAAATCCACACCCTCACCGAGCCCTACCTCTCGGCCCTCTTCCCACCCCCAGACGCCGTCGACCCTCTGCCCTCCCTCTCCAACGAAAACCCCGTCTTCCTCACCCCCCGGTCCGCCTCCCTCTGGTCCCAACTCGTCGCCCCTCCCCCGCTCCAACCCCCAGATTGGATCCGCTCCCGCATCCGCCGGCTCTTCCTGGTCTCCCTCGGCGTGCCGGTAGACCTAGATGAGATCCTGCCCGCCTCCAAGCAAAAGAAACTCGTCCTCCCCTCCCTCCACCGGTCAACATCCAATGGCTCATTCCAATCTGGCGACTCAAGGAGTGTCTCCCGCGTCCGCGCGGCCGCATCGACAACATCGGTCGACTCCCAAGGAAACCTCAAACCCCCCAGGGCGTCAAAGAAACAACCTCAGACATCAGAGGGTGTAGACAGCAAAGAGAAGAGTTTGGATTTGCTAAAGGCAAGGCAGCTGTGCATGACCACCGACGAGGCGATGAACGGGATGACAGACAAGGAGTTGAGGGCGCATGTGGAGAGGTTGGAGAAGATGCAGTTTGAGGCAAAGGACGTGCTGGATTATTGGCAGAAGAAGATGGACGAGAAGATTGGGGATCGGGAGGCGTTTGAGAAGGTGATTGAGAACTTGGTGAAGCATGCTAGGAAGGCTAGGAAGTAGACTGGGAAAGGGGGTTGAACGGAATTACAAGGACAGAAAAAGTGTTGGAAAGGGAAAGGTTACGAAAAGGGCAGAAAGGTTCCAAGCAGGTTACCTTGAGGTTTTTGATTTATTACGGCAGTTACTAGTTAATGAAGGGGGAGAAAAAGGTTGCACAGGAGGCAAAATTATAGAGATAATAGACCAAGTTAGACACACTACTGGACCTTTGAGCGAAGATGCAACTGTTGATCCAGATATCCATGCTTTCTGTCAAACATAAAGTTCTGTTTGCTGGCATGACTTTGAGGACGCCCTTTTCGGAGCTGCATGAATGTCTTTCAACTGTGAAAATACACATGAGCAGTTATTATGTATCGCTACGTATATAAATTCCGAGTGGGCAATTCAGAAAAAAACAGGCAATCCCTTTATTTTCGCTACTCTACCCCAGTCTTGGCATATAAACACCACCACCCCCCCCGCCTCCCTGCCTAACATTTTGTGAACCATGCAGCAAAGAGCAGATGAGAACCCCTCTCATTCTACCGTCATTATCATCAAAATATAGTAGGGTGTTTAAGCGGTGACGGGCTCGACCGTTACGCCACTGTTTGACTCAGTTAGCAAAATATTCATGAAGATCAAGAAAACCAGAGGGGGAAAACTTACGCAGCGATGGTAGCCCAACCAATGAGACGCCAATGCTTCTCGATACGTCTGCTAAGCGCAACCTTCTCGCCAATCTTTGTGCAAGCAGGAGATGTAAGCTGGAGCTTGGCAGCATCCTTCTTGATGGCAACAACCTTGGCACCGGTGGAGGTGGAACCAATGTTGACCATGATAACCTCGTTCTTCGCAAGCTTGTCGACCTTGGCCTGCTTGCCGTCGGCCGTCTTGACACCGAGGAGGCGGCGGAGGAGGTAGAAGTTGACCTCGATCTCACTGTAGATGTCGGGGAGGCGGCCCTTGAGACCGAGGACGAAACCGACAAGACGATCGGCTCTGCAGAGGGTAGGGTCGATGCGGGTACCGACACCAATAAGACCGCCGGGAACGGCGTACTTCAGCTCGTTGGCCTCAGAGTTGAGAGACACAATACGGCTGAAAATGGGCGTGCACTTGAGATCACCCCTCTCGTCGCGAGTAACGATGCCGGGGCGGATCTCAATCTCGTCACCGAGCTTGAGCAGACCGTGAAGAACGGAACCACCAGCAACACCACCCTTAAGCTCCTCAATCTCGGCACCGGGCTTGTTGACGTCGAACGACCGAATGACGATCATGTGGGGGTCCATGGAGAAATCCCTAGGAGGGATGGGGATGGTATTGACGATAGCGTCGTTGATGGCGTCGATGTTGAACTTGAGCTGGGCCGAAATGGGGATAATCGGCGACTTGCCAGCGACTGTGCCTCTGATGAACTTGAGAATAGACTCGTGGTGCTGCTTGGCAGCCTCTTCTCTCATAAGATCGACCTTATTCTGGAGAATGATGATCTTGTCCAACTTCATAATCTCGATGGCGGCCAAATGCTCAGAGGTTTGAGGCTGAGGGCAAGATTCGTTACCGGCAATGAGAAGAAGGGCGGCGTCCATGACGGCGGCACCTGACAACATGGTACTCATGAGAATATCGTGACCGGGGCAATCAACAAAGCTGGTTCTTGTTAGCAACTTTCCTCAGCAGCCGCTCGCCTCTGTGTGATACTTACGAGACATGGCGCAACAGTCTGTAAGTTCCTGTGCAGCCCTCACGCTCGCAAGGAGGGTCAACCTCCTTCTCGCTCTTGTAGCTCCTGTAGCATGTCGGCCTTGGGCATTCTGGGCTATCGCACTTGTAGATCTTGGCGTTGGCATAACCCAGCTTGATGGTAATGTTGCGGATCAGTTCGTTCTTGAAACGAACGGTCTGGACGCCAGAGATGGCCTTGACGACTGTGGACTTTCCGTGAGCGACGTGGCCGATAGTACCGATGTTGATGGTCGCTTGCCGCGCAATAATCTCGGCTGTGAGGGGGGTAAGGCTCTTGATGTCGAGGTCCTTGGGGTCTGTTTGAGGGGGCAGAGGTGGTCTCTGGACAACTGGGGCAGGGGCGCTCTTCTTCAGGGCCGACTTGGGCTTGTCGAGGAGGTCGTTGTCGGAATCATGGATATCGACCTGGGACTCGCCGGAGTCTGAATCCGACTCGGGGATATCGTTACCGAATTTGTCGTTGGCCGACATGGTGATGGCTTCGTTCGGCGGCGGGGTAGTTGGTTTTGGGGTCTTCCTGTGGTTGTTTCGGCGCGCCGGTTTGGTCGCTCGATCAAGTACTCGGCGAAGTTTTCTTTATGAGGGCGACGCGGTGGCTGCGTTGCGTGGTTTGCGGAATTGCCGGTGGAGGAAGATGCCGACCAAAAGCAAAGGGTGGGATATAGTATTTGGAAGAATTTCGTGTGCAGTCATACACATTTGCGACTCATCCTTGCCTTACCACTGGTGGTGCTGCTCTAAACTTTAACCAATAAAGGTTAGCGCCACCTGCCCCACCATGACCGATAAGCCCCGATAAGCCTCCAGATGTGGGACGATTCACTTTGAGCTCACCTCGTGAACAATTAAATGGAGACTGCTCTTGGGTTTTCACATTGGAACTGCCATTATTCTGTCCACAATCTGATACTTTGCTCTCGAGTCTAAACAATGCTAACTGTAAACCTCATAATAGCAAAAAGGGTCTTAACAATAGCAAGGAGACCTGGCACTTCGTCCAGTTCCAATAGCTTCAACTGTACGTTAGCACTGTCAAAGAAACAGAGTTGGCCAGTGTCAAGACCTGTCAAGGACCCGGTTGCAGCTCCCAGCCTATTCACTCATGGATAGGTAGCTATTGTCATCCATCCAATAACCTGAGGCATCACATGCTCCCCTGAGCAAGACTGAAGCTCACAGTCACACAGGATACGGCATGACATCACTTTGGATGTTCAATCCTGTTGAAGTTCTCCTTTCTTTCTTCAGAGTGGCTCTTGGAAATTACCCACATCATTGAAGACTCCAGAAGGCGCGAATATGAGTTTATTCACTTTAACTGGTGACATGGCTGTCACGGAAGCTAAGGGTCAGAAAGTCATGTGGCAGAGATGCACTATTCACCATAACCATAACAGTCACAGGTTCACTTTGCCTTGGTGAGTTCATGACACCGACGCTTCGACTCGAATGATCATGTTTTGAGAACCAATACGTTTGTGGTTATAATGCTATTCTTAGGGGAAAAGGGGCGTATCTTTAGACAAGGACCAGCCATTCCCTGCTTCGTTATATGTGGAATCTGCTGCTCACCACGTGGACCTTCCTTTGCTTTGCGGCTGTTCAACACGGCCGCTGTTGAAGTGATCCCACGTCAAAGTCAACAGCAGACTACCTCTTTAGACGAGTGTGACAACAAAGGCAACTTATCTCGTTTCACCCCTAGAAAGATATCACTGTGAGTCCAACCTCACATCTGCCGAAATTTACAAAGTTGTCCTAGAACGCGAAAAGAAAAGATGCTAAACAATCACAACATTACTTCCAAGGACTGCTCAGTGGTAATACGGAATCCACAGCAATGTGCTGAAAATCAGCGGAGAATTCTGCTATCAGACTAATCATCAAATCAAATCTAGAGGGTCTGTCTGGACTCAGTCGTGAACGGTGGGTCTACTGAGTGCCTCACAGCATCACTTTTCATTTCAGTCCTCACACACGGAAGTTATCTAAGTGAAAAGAACTGGGTATACCATTCAACATTAGCATAGCTTTCACGCTAGATACACAATCTTGCTACGATTATAAGCTTCTTGCCCATGGTATATCACGAAGCCACTTGTCTAAGTCCTCATAGACAAGAGGGTTGCTGGGGCCCTATAAAGATGTCTCAAGTCCTTTCCCTCTATTCAAAGTTATTGCCCTGAATTGTACTGACCTGATATATATCCTCTGCTCTCTCTCCGAACGTGGCTCAGTACTAACATCCTTCCCTGACTCCTCGTCATCACAAGTCACATGTTTCCTCTTGATGTTCAAGCTTGATCACACAGATCCACAAAAAAAGATAAAAAACGCATCAGATGAAGCCAGCCAGTCAGGTAATTCCACAATCATCATTGGCCAGCTCATTCACCACCGTTCAACTTCCACGTGTCGGGCAAAGCTAAGATCAAACCCCAGAAAACCACGAACCCACTGCTGCCTTGCAGAGTCAGTTGAAAGACTAAATACTCCACATACAAAGCTGTCTTTCTTATTGGAAGTGAATGGTCCCATTGCACCAACTAAAAGCCTGGTTATGTTTCATGTTTGAGAAGTGAAGCAGTCATTGGAGGCTATGTCTGCCAGGTTTTGTTGTCATTGCCTAAGCCCAAGGTAGGTACATTTTGCATGTGGGTTTCGTTGTGAGCTGCGTGACATTGAAGGCGACGATCCCATGTGTCATCTCAGTGGTGTTTAACGAGATCGAAGCCGAATCACGGTGAGCTCAAAATAGCTTCAAGATATGAAGGTCATGTGCGTGGTCCTTGTTCAGCCAGCACAGCAACAGTCTAGAACCACATCCCCAAGCCTCTTCAGCTCAGTGGCAGTAGTCTACCAGCGTAACACCACTAACCAGTGATCTAGAAGCACTCCGAGACGATCACTCCCTCGTATGCCCATCTGTAACAGCCGCAAGTCAAGTTTGACATAAACGACCCGCATAAGCCACGAACGACACGCAAACTTCCTTTTCAGCCCTCCCTAGCAAAAGTTTCAGCCCTGAAGCCTCCTATCCACTTGCGACTCCGGGCACACTCTCGGGGGCTGTGGAGAAAAAAGAATGTGACTGGCCATGTGGCCACCTACGGTCAGAGAACAGCGGCATCCGGAAGAAATTCCTAGCGAGGAAGAGGAAGAGGTGTCTGTGATGGGCATATCTCTGCCCTAGTTGTACATAAACTACCGGGTGTAGGACAAACCACCCGTCCACCCACCACTCCAACACCAACCCCGCCCTCAGAACGGAACACAAGCAGGATTACGATAATGGAAAGAATGCAGAGGTCTCTTTTTTCTGGGACACGATTAGCGTGCTCGATGCTATTCATACATCGAAAGGAGCCAGAAAATCAATATTCTTGGTAAGCTAACGGCATAGAAGTGGGCAAATATCGCCCAAGCCAAGGGCTCCCAGCGGGTTCCCAGTGCCACGGCCCTTTCTCGATCCCCCAATCTATCTGGGGCGTCACTAGCGGTCTGATCACGGGTTGCTACCGTTGAGTTCGCAGTTTGCTTCTGCACACACACTAGACTACCTAGCAAGGTCTTTCCATGACTTCATGACAGAAGAAAGTTTTGTAAGAGCCCGATGCCGTGGGGTACCACCTACCTTGGGGCATACAACAGAGAGAGAGCGGGGAAACGAATTGCCAAATCCAGACTGTGTGTGAAAAAAAACGCTTGCTGACGATAATTTTCTCAATCTAAACTGGAATGTTGACTATATAATTAGCAGCGATAGTCTGCGGGAGGGAGGGGTGTGATGGCCAGACTCTTGCAGACTGTCGAGCCCGTTGATGGAACCCGAAGCGCGGTCACCAACATGTGTGTAAGCTGGTGGTGGTGCCCGTTACACAGCGTTGAACCAGGACAAGAAGTCTATATTGATAACCATTATAGACATCCATCGTAAGCACGGTAGTCGGATCTTGCACCAGATGTGGTATGTGGGTTAATTAACATGATGTGGTTCCGCTGCACAACCACCGAGGATTATTGGACTCTTGGGAAAAGAAGTGCAACATTTAGCACCCTAAAAATATGGCAGAGATGGTGGGTAAAAATCCGGTTCTGTATGTGGTGATCATGCACGGGACGAGCACCAGTGACACCTACCGGGACAATTTTGTCCTAATCAGGATTTTTTGCCCATACTCTCAAGGTCTGCCTCGTTGCTGGGAGAATCCGCAGCTGAATTTTGTGTGCCTTTTTCCAAATTGAAGCGAGCTGTTGGCTTGGCTTGTACCTTTCGCCTGCTAGGTGCCAGTATCAGCCTGGAGCATCGTGAGGATGTCGACCGCTAGAAAACTCTCGCTTGCCTCGGTTGAACCGGTTGAATTAAGATGCTGATGTTGGTCCACCATCTTGGGTCTTATGTGAGCAGAGATAACGAGAGATATCCTGGGACGGGCCTTGGGGATGAGGATGGTTTTGATTCATGAAGAGCTGGCCCCGAGACAACGACAACAACGGTTGAAGCCTTCAAAGGCGGGGTCATGATAAAGCTCTATTCGAGGCCCAGGTCGTACATTCCATTCATGTGCCACTCGGTTGACAAAAAGGTCCTTTCTGAAGGCAAAAAAGGTGAAGGCCAGTCGTCGGACTCTTGGAGCTGGCTGGCTGGGCAAGAGGGGACGTCGGCCGCTGTGTGGCACGGCTTACCGCTGAGCTGCATGACCGGCAGAGAGATCACAGAATGCTAGTCGCTGATTGGATGCCTGCTTTCAAGCAATCCGAACCCCACAGGGTTAGACGCAGATCATTGGTGGCAGCAACGGCAGGGGTGGCAGCTGCACGACAGGGGGAGTCCAACCTCAACTCGACGACAGTCACTCTCTTGCCGCCCAACCAGCGACTGTCCCGCCCAGGCCGGCGTCCAACCTCACGCTCTTTCGGCAGAAATGGTCCTGCTCGACCCAGGCCTCCATCCAATAGATTCCAAACACTTGCATATGCGCCAGCCCCGCCCCGGGTTGCGACGACTTTGAGCGCCAAGCACCGCCAGAGAATGAGTCCTCTCTCGTCCCTCTCGCCGTGGAACAGATCGAGCATCACCACCCGCCCGGCCATGTTCCATGAACCCGAGCACATGTTTCTGCAGCCATTGATGGGCCGAGTAGCTTCTGATGACACGGTGAAGAGGCTTCCAAGAACGCTGCTTGTAGCTCTGGGCATTTGCAGTTAAACGGTGGTAGTATTAGTCTTTTTCTCTCACTACTTGTGCTGTTTAAGTCCCAAGCTCCGAGCACTATGCACGCACTTCGGTACCATCACCCATGACACCCCCCAAGGTCCCATTTCCCTCAACCAACAGCGTATTGCTATATTGAGATGCCCCTCTTTGCGAGCTAGGACCAGTGTCCTCCGCTTATCTAGCAGATTTCTCTAGCCTTGATGATCGTCGGGACTCTTCTTCCCTCTTGTCATCCATTGTGAAGTGAGACTCTTCTCCTGTACTTCTTCCTTCCAGGTTTCCTTCTAGACCGCCAGGAACATCAGGAACACGCTCCTGTAGCCAGCATCTGCAACCCACCCGCAGGTCTCTCTTCGGGCCGCCCAGCAAAACTAGCTCCAGTGCCGCTCCGTCACTCCAGTGGGCGTCTATTTTCCATCACGAGTCGCCCGGGCTTTATTGGCAGCTTGGTACCTCGCCCTATCAGAGCCGCTTGCTGGGAAAATACCCCCTGTCCACCGTGGGTGTCCCCATTGCACCCGTTGCCTCCCTCATCGGACCACTCACTCACACCTCCCTGCAGCTGCGAGGCCTGCATGCTGTGTAAGTGGTAGTGGCAGCGGCTATTCAAATCCCACCACCCCCCCAAGAGAGCGCCATCTTTTTCCGGAATTCCTTTCCTTTGGCAGCTGGGCTCTCTTAACCACACCCTTTCCCTTGGTTCTGTTCCGCCACCGTCCTCTTTATTGAAGACTGGTATCTTCCTTCTCTTCAACTTGCCGTCCATCTTTGTAGGTGTTATCGCCGCCTACACACAACACCAAGCAACAAAAAAGGAAGAAGGGAGAAACGACTTTACTGTCGTTGTCGTCCACGATGGGTCTCGACGAAAAGAAGCGGCCAACGGCCTTGAACCTCGCACCGATCCGGACCAAGTCAGCCGGCTCCATCTCTTCTACAGACTCCTCATCCACATCCTCGTCTTTGGCCAAGCCTCCCAGGACACCACGGTTCGCCGAAGCTACAGCAGTAAACTCACCTATCGAGCCGAGATTGGGACCCTTTTCTGACAAGCACGAAATCACTCAGGCGCAGCCAGGAGATGTTGGATTTGGTTATATCGGAAACAGGGGATCAACAGTACCAATGACGCCAAAGTCGCCCTTGAAGAGCGCCATGAGAGTACCAGGCACACCCGGCAGGGGATTGACAAACCCCCTGAGCCCCACCTTCAGAGAAGAGGAGAACCTGGAGGCGCGGGAGAAGATCACAGAGAAGGACCAGGCTAGGGATTTGGTAAGTGAAGGATGATAAGAGGTTGGTTTGTGCGAATATGGACTAACAATCACGGCAGAAAATCAAGACCAGAGTAAGAATGGCCAAGTTCGCCCTCCGTGGTGTCAACTTCAGCTGCTCCCTGATTATCTTGTCCATGATCTCGGCCTCGTTCGCCATTTTCAACGCCACCAAGGCTCTTGCACCTATGAGCGGTCTTCCGGCTTGGTCCAACAACACAAACACCTGGCCTCAGAAAGTCGTTCTCGCCTGTGCTGGTGTCTCGCTCATCATCTGCGTTTGTGTCTTTGTTGGCTACTGCCGTGGTGGTCACAGGAGAGCGGAGAAGGTCGGCGTCTATTACACTCTGTTCGCGGTCGGCTGGTTCATTTTCAGTATGGCTATGTGGGCTGCGGCCGCCGGAATCCTCCAGCACTCCAAGTCCAACAGCGGTAACCAGGATATGTGGGGATGGGCCTGCGTCGAAAACCGTCGATCCGAACTCTTTGGCGGCCAAGTCGACTACGCCCTTGTCTGCCGCCTCCAGGACTGGACTCTTATTTGCATCATTATCGAGTTGGTGGTCGAGATCATCAGCATCACGCTTTACAGCGTCGTCTTTTACCGATACTGGTCGAAGAGGAAGCTTCACAAGTCGATGGACATGCGCGACAAGGCCCGCTCCGATCTCTACCTCGCCCAGCTTCGCAGCCAGTCCGCCCCCAACACACCTGGCTTCGGCCCCAAGTCGCCCGCCTTCTCGCAATATGCTCTTTCCCCTCGCTTCCCGCCCACCACCTACAAGTCTTTGGGCGATATCCAGGAGAACACCTCCGATTCGCCCTTCACTCCTGGTGGCAACAACCTCATTGTTCCTCAGTCCAACTTCACTCCCCAACAGGCTGCCTTCAAGCTTCAGGCCCCGCCTACCAAAGCTAACCCGGCTACTCCGTCAACACCAAAGTCCGGATACAAGCCACCAACGGCGGCCGATCTTTCACCCTCCTCGATCACCGCCCCTGCTTTCCCGGCACCTACAGTTCAGCATGCGCCAATGGTAGAGGGCGAGCAGCAGTACGAGGCGGTACCCATCCCCGGTGCCTACGCCGGGCAAGCGATCAAGTCACCACCACCTGTTCAGACAACATTCAACATCCCACGATAAATGGGGTCGCTTGAATGGACAAGGGATGACGGCAGCAAGCCCTGGTCGTTTTGCATGTATACATTTCTTTTCTCTCAGCCTTTTGTTTTCTTATGTTTTTTCTCTTTGTCGACAACTACTCTGCCCTTTGGTGGCTGTCTGCCTTCTTTCTAAACCCAAACTTTTTTCTTTCCTTTTTTGTCTGTTTGGATATACCAATGGCGTTTGACGGCGCGAAGAACTTGATCTTACAAAGTGTGGACGGCACTCGTTCTTTTTTTACAACCTCTAATTTGGATGGACTGGAGGTGGACTATATGTACATTATTACACTGTGGCTTTTTTGGCATGAGCGATCAGAAAGATATTACCTTTTCGCTGTGCGAGAATAGCGAGGATGATATGAAAGGGGACCATGTTGGACGTGGGAAATGATATCTGGGTGGGTGAGATGAGAAAGACATTTTTTCGTAAATAGCAAAACAAGAAAATTGTCTGAACCTTTGAGATTGTGTATTTGGTGATGGGAGTATGTGATACGTGTGATGGCTTGAATTGTGTGCTTGATGCAAGTCATTGCTATGTTTCGATTGTGCAACCGCCATGTTGAGATATGTGGTTGATGTGGCAGTATTGATGGCCCCAAAAGGGGGTGGGCAGGAGATGGGGTCAATATCTCGAGGTTGTCAAGGTGGTTACGGCGTCAACTTGATCACATCTTTCAGTTTCAACTTTGGTGTGATAGATAACTTCAACACGGAAAGTAGGGCCTCGCCTCATCACAGCCGTTCTCTGGAAAAATAATGTTAGACGGTTGTAACTATAGGCGCGGGCAATTCAGGGGTCCACCAAGAGATGAGATGACATGACACTAACAATTTTATTTTGGGTACCTCTAATTATGCACAAGCCAACCTGACTCTCCATCCCATCTCTGCGATCCTCTCCTGATTCTGTTCTGTGTTTGTTTTTTTTGCTCCGTTGTTTCTTCGCCTTCTTTTCTTACCAATTAGACTTGCTTGCTTGTCCCTGACCGACCATACATACCCCTTACCCAACCGCCACAACTCACCCATCACCCCGAGTCGTCATCGTGCATTGTGCGCGCTGCCCGCCGCCCATCCCCTATCACGAGCTTCCCTCGCGCGCGCGCAAAACCACTTCACACACACACGAGAACCGAACAATGTCTATAGCAGCAGCAGCAGTAGGACGCCAAGCCTGGCGGGAACTGGCGCGCAACAACAGCACTGCTGCGATCCGTCGTACCATCTCCTTGTTGCCCAAGTCGCAGCAATTCCGTCCTACCTCCTCCGTTCCTGCTTTTACCGCCAACGCCAGCAAGGCTGCCCCCCGGTTTTCCCAGTCGCAACAATACAGATCCTACAGCTCGGGCGGTTCAAGCGGTGATGGGACAAAGGTCAAGTTCTGGCCGTTTGTGCTGGTGTTGGCTGCTGGTACTGGCGGGTGGGTGTTGTTGATTAATAGGCAAAAGAGTAAGTTTACTTTTTCTTTGGGGGACAACGAATGGGCGCACAGCGGAGATGGATGATGTAGTTGGACGAATAGGGGAAGGAGTTGGTGCGGCATGGAGGGTTCCCAAAGAACAGGCGGGAGCTTTGCAGCTGCCGATTTGTTGGAGGGGCAATCGAGCTGTGCCATGTGAGGTGTGTAGCTATGCCAGGTTTCAAGGCAGGAAGCACCCTCAAAGAGCGTCACTTTTTGAACCTCCAACGATACATGTCTCTTGAAACTCGCCCATCAACTGCCCTAATCTCGACATCACAATACTACATACCTATCTAACCTAAAACTATACCCAAACAAAACCACAACTAACCGCCCCAAACCACAGACATGCCCCCCAACCCCAAGCAAACCGCATCCTCCTCCGCCAAACCCACCCCAGCCTTCTCCCCCTCAGAAGTAACCGTCCTCTTCGTCCTCGGCGGCCCCGGCGCCGGCAAGGGAACCCAATGCACCAACCTCGTCAACGACTTCTCCTTCCATCACCTCTCCGCCGGCGACCTCCTCCGCGCCGAGCAGGACCGCCCCGGCTCCCAATACGGCCAGCTAATCCAAGACTGCATCAAGAACGGCGCCATCGTCCCGATGGAAGTCACCGTCGCCCTCCTCGAGAACGCCATGGCCGACGCCATCGCCAAGTCTGGCTCGAAAAAGGCGCGCTTCTTGATCGATGGCTTCCCGAGGAAGATGGACCAGGCGTTCCAGTTTGAAAAGGTGGTTTGTCCCGCGAAGCTGGTGCTCTTCTTTGACTGCCCGGAGCAGGTGATGGAGGGGAGGCTGTTGGAGAGGGGCAAGACGAGCGGGCGGGCGGATGATAATGCGGAGAGTATCCGCAAGAGGTTTAGGACTTTTGTTGAGACGAGCATGCCGGTTGTGGAGTATTATGACAAGGAGGGGAAGGTGATCAAGGTGGATGCGACGCCGGGACCGAAGGAGGTGTATGAGGATGTGAAGATGAAGCTGGTGGGGAAGTTGGGGGAGAACTTTTAGACTGAGTTGACTGGGGCGGTTTTGATATTTTGAGCGCTGAACTTGGTTGGTTGGTTGGCATGGTGTTGATAGAAGGGATGGATGGGTTATGGGAAAGCAAAGGGCAAGCAAGCATTGGAGTTGGAAGAAACTTAGAAATGGAAAAAGGAAAAGAATCGTTCGTTTTTCTTTCTTTTGTAGTTACTTTTGCAAATCTTAGATAGAAGCCGAGGTAGTTCATACGTTTTGTTTCCCATCGGTATACAAGTGCACCTGCTCTTGTCAGTATTCCTGGGAGAGACCAATATCGCACTTTTGATCAATGAACCAAAGCAAGTTGGTTGTGAATATGTGTGTTGTACATTTTTGCTTGTTGTCTTGCTGGTATTGATACAAATGCTGCCCTGCCCTGCCCTGCCCTGCCCTGCCCTGCCCTGCCTCCCAATCTATACACTTTTCCCCATTCATCCTCTTGGTATTCCTCCCCCCCATTGTCCTTTTGCTCTGTCGATCGTCGTCGTGATATCGTAGCGCCTTTACCTGGGGAACTTGCTCCAGCTGCGCTTCCCAACCTATTATGTATCTCATTAGCACTCCTCCCTCTCCCTCTCCCAATACTATTTTCCCTTGTTACATACCTTCTTCCACTCCCTAATAAGCCCAGGCATCTCAAGCATAGCCTTCCTCCTCTTCTCCATCCTATCATCCTGTCAGCACCCCGTCTTTCCCCCTCTCCCCAAAGGAATACGTACTTTGCGACCAGCACCCTCTCATGCTTATGACCCTTGACCTTCTCACCCAAACCAGTACCCTTCACCCTCAACCCAAACTCCACCCTCTTCGCCAGTCTCGTCTCCGTCCCCTTCTCCGTATAAGGCAGCAACTCCTCCACTCCGTGCTCCCTCGCCAACTTGACAAGCTCAGCCTGTCTGCGCAGGGAGTATTTTGGGTCGTGCCATTTGCCGGTCACAGGGTGCTTCCGCGGGAGGAACGGGTTGGGGGTCTCGCGCTGGTAAAAGGTGAGGGCCTTGCTCGGAGCGTGGGCCGCGCCGAGGGGGAGGATGGATAGGGGGGGGTAGCGCGCCAGAAAGGTCTTGAGGCGGGCGGGGAGGGATTGCGCTAGTTGGATGAAGGTTGAGGGGTTGGTGGGGGTCGCCATGATGGGCGGGATGTGTTGTTGTTGTTGTCGTCGTCGTCGTCCCGGGGGACGGGGATGTTGGATTGGTGACGGTGCGGTCGTAGAGGTTCGCAATCGGGAGTGAGGGTGGGAGCGAGCTTGATGGACAGGGTCGGTTATCGAAAAAAGTTCTAGGGTTGGGATTGGTTGATGGGAGTGGGCAATTGGGAGACCCTAACCCTGTGGTTCGTAGGCTACTGAGAGACGAGAAACGCATTCTATTATGGTTTAGGACCTTTCGACTGTCTATAAGGGTTTATAACAGATATTTAATACCAATTTACTGTTTATAAAAGCCTCTTTGCTATCTTTAAGGCCTCGTCCCTAGTAGCAAAGCCAGGGTTAATAGTGCAGATACATGCAAGAACAAAGATATACAACCATGATGAGGACCAAATTGAAGGCATCTTATCAAAAGCTCTACTGCCATCCCCCCTTGCCTCCAAACCCACCACTATCCTCCACCTTCTTCTGCCCCCTCTGTGGCTTACTCTGCGCAGCCTCATGCCTCCTCAACTCATCCGGCACCTTAGAAATACTCGACTTGGAGATAATCTGCTTCAGGTCATACATCACCTCCGTATCCTCATTACCCAAAAACGTAATAGCCACACCACTCTTGCCCGCACGACCCGTACGACCAATACGATGCGTGTAGCTCTCAATGCTCGACGGCATGTTAAAGTTGACAACCAAGCTCACATCCGGCACATCAATACCACGACCGGCCAAATCTGTCGCCACCAAAATGCTCGACTGGCCGTTCCGCACCGACGCAAGCGAAGCCTCACGCTGCTCCTGCGTCTTGCTGCCGTGAAGTGTCGTCGTGGAGAAGCCCCAAGACTTGATATCCTTGGCGACCATCTCGCAGTTTCGCTTGATGTTGACAAAGACAATGATGGGCGGCTTGAACTGGCCCGAGTTGAGAATCTCCCGAAGTCTGTTCTTCCTCTTGTCTTCGCCGGCGATGAACTCGACGCGTTGCTCAACAGTATCGACGGCTTCGCCTGCGTTGCCGATAGTGACGATGGCTGGGCGACGTAGGTATTTTTTGGCGATCCTTTCCACCAGTGGAGGCATCGTAGCTGTGTACATCATCGTCTGACGGTAACGGTCTTTTCCACCCAGATATTTCTTCATGAGCTGGGGATTCTCGGCCTCTTCCGTATCTGGCTTCTCGTTGGTGACTGGGAGTGCGTCCAGAATCTTGGTCAGTGGTTCTTCGAAACCTTGGTCGATCATGCGATCGGCTTCATCCATGATGATGTAGCAACACTGAGTAAAGACCAAAAGTCGTCTTTCAAGGCAGTCGACCAGACGACCTGGTGTAGCAACGATAATCTCTGCTCCGTTGCGGAGAGCGTAGGCTTGTTCTTCCAGAGAGTGACCACCAACAATGCTAACGACAGTGAACCCGAGGGGCGTGGCAAACTTCCGAGCTTCGTTCTCAATTTGTTGTACCAATTCTCTCGTCGGGGCAAGAATAAGGGCGTATGGACCGTCGTTCTTGTTGACATCGTTCAAGGGCGGGAGCTCAGAAATGTATACCAGCAACGGCAGCAAAAAAGCTGCTGTTTTACCGGAACCGGTAACGGCCACACCGATCAAGTCTCTGGCCTGGAGAGCAATAGGAATAGACGCCCTTTGGATAGGCGATGGCTCGTCGTAGCCAACATCGTGAACGATATCCAGTAGCCTCCGTGGCAGATTCGACTCTTCCCAGCTACGCATAGGGTTCGGAATAGCACCGCCCTTGGTGGCAATGCCAAAATTCTCCTTGAAGATGCGCCAGTCACGCTCCTTCATCTCCTCCAGTCTCTTCTCCGACCAATGTGAGCCCAAAGCCTTGCGTTTAGCTGCTTGCTTGGCGCGCTCGTGCTGTTCGAGAAGCTGTCTGGCACGCTCCTCTCCCGTTTCTGGATCTCCACGCCGGATAGCCTCCGCCTTTCTTCTTACAAGCTCGTCGGTCGACTCTTCGCCTCCACGCTTGAATACTGGTTCGAGACGGTCTTTGTAGATAGGATCATCCGGTCGGCTCGTATCATCGTCTGGGTCCCAATCGAAGTTGAACTTATTCGCGGCCGTTCTCCTTCTCTTCTTCTTAGCCGAGAAGGTAGACTGGTTGACAACGGGTCCCATATATTTGGCGCGCAACTCGGCCTCGTCGTTCATTTCCATCTTCGTCCGCCGCCCTTCGTCATCCATGGGGGCGCCGCGCTTTGCTCCGGCGCGATGCGGGCCCCGGTCATCATCTCGCCTGTCGCCCTCTCGTCTGTCGCCCTCTCGTCTGTCGCCTTGCCTGTTTCCTCGGTCGTCCGCTCGCATCGCCTTAGGGCCAGTCGGAATTTCATTTCGAGGCCGTGATGGCTGAGAACTGCCATTGGAATGGCCATTTTCCAGTGTTGTCTCTTTTCGTTTCAGTTCCTCCTCTTCTTTGGCCTTCTTTTCGGCGGCGAGGCGCTCGCGTTCTTTCTTGGAGATAAATCGCGGTTTTGAGGCGGCTTCCTCCTGGGCCTTCTTTTGCCGTAGCAAGGCGGCCAGGTCAGGCGGTTCTCGTCGTGAAGCCATCGGTAGTTGATCTTGCGGGCGCAGAACGATGGTTGTGTGAAGAAAAGGTCAGTTGTAGCCTCCAAGGTTCACGGTCAAAAATAAGCGAGTACCTTGATTTATGCTTGGGTGGTCTGTGCACCATGTATTGGACAGGACTTAAGGCTTAAGACTGTTTGCTCCTGGGACATAAAAGACAGTCAATAGGACGGACAAGATAGTCCATAGGCATTCGAAGATAGTTGGTAGGCCTTAAGAGAGTGTCTATGGGCCTTTAAAGATTGTCTATAGGTGTCTCCACATAATAATTAGGCTTTTCATAGTCCACATGTCCTGGAAGATAGTCGATATGCCTTTAAAATAATTGAAATGCCTTCAAAATAGTCGAGACGCCTTCAGAATAGTTAACACATCTTGAAACATAATCAGAAGTATGTAGATCATCTCTGAAGGCGTTAATGTTTTGTCGCACTCTATTTTTCTGCCCTCGACATGAGTGGGACAGAATTTGTATTCTTTCGTGATCAACGGAACGCTCCGTCCACAATAAAAGTATAGCGTCACTTCAACGACTTCTGCTTCCTGAGTAACGAGTGATCACGGAGTTGTTGGCCACGTGCAACATATTTCGAGGTCTCTCTTATGATATCCCATGGTCCATATTCCACTAAACAGATCCCAACAACTAGAGTCTAGACTAGTTCAACGGCTCGTCGTTCGGCACCTGTTTGACATGTGAGAGCCCGGTGTAAAGGAGAGCGAAAATAGCGAACTCGGCGCCAGAGTTGGCTTATTAGTGGAGATGTCGTTGGCAAATGCCACTGATGGTTGATTAGATGATCTTATCTGATCATCTTTGGCATGGTCCATGTGGCCCATCATCCCCACCCAACATGCCGATTAGGTAACCCAGTTGCAAAACACCTCACAAAAAACCCCATTGGAACGTTTCGAATCTTGTTCCAAACCCCACTGCTACCGAGGTCTGGGATTGCGGACCTCAACAAAGCTTCACGCAAGCAGCATCAATCATGCGATTCCAGGAACCCCAGGACTGAATCGCAACCCAGAGACGTCCCTCCTTGCCCCGCCAAACCGCTAACCCTGGGTTGCCAAGCCCCCAGGGTAACAGCACAACGGCTGGCTTCCGCTGACCAGCAGACGGCTGAACGGTTTTCCAAGTTTTTTTTCCCAGGGCTTTGAACATCTGATGGCCGAGTTTGGATTCTGCCGCTACACAACACCATGCTTTTGTATTGATCGACAGCCGATTTCGCAACACCGGGAGAAGCTGCTGCTTCAGCCTTGAGGTGGTGTGAGGTCTCTACGACCTCGCCGGCCTACAAAAGGGCGAGCACCCATCAAAGCATTTCCCTGCATTGCTCCTGATAGTAGCCCCTCCAGACCGGTCCCCGCCCCGCTCATCGGATCTTGACCCTCGTGGGGTTTCCCGGGATCAACTCGCAGTTTCGAGCGGTGACTGAAGAAACTTGAGACGGCAAAGCTCTCATGTGAGTGGGAATTCGGGGGTTGGGTCGTGGTGGCAGTGAATAGTTTTGTCTTGTCTTTTCTTTTCTTTATTATTTGGGTCGTTTCACCCTTGCTGCAACCCGGCCGAGTCCAAGTCTGTTTGTCACTCACCAGTGTCTTCACAGTCACACCCGCCCGCTCTCCAAAGTCCAAGCTGCAGGTCGTCATCCTATCTTGTCTCGAAAAAGACTCCAATTCGCAACCGGGATCCCCCTCATAAGAGGTATCGAAGATCTCTGCAGCCGCATTCTGCGCTCTGCTCCGTGTCCTGCGTCTTTATCACGCGCAGTGTCGGGGACTCAATTGAGAGCGTGTGTGTGCCATTGTGCGCCCAGGAGGGTATCGACACTGGGCTATTCGCTCCCGGCTGTCAAAAGAAGAGAGGAAGTGAACGTCTCCCACAGTTCCAACTCACTATGGAGCCAGCAGTCACACTTAAACCAGAGGTGCCTCCTGCACCAACCTCATCATCCACCACATCCCCCTGCATCACCACACCAGTAATCCTCAAGCCCAAAACCGCCGTCATGGAGGCTGTTGAGGACATCGTCTACGGCTCAGTGAGTGCCCCTTCATATCTAATTGACGCAGTAAAACTTACCATGCACCTCTTTTCAGGTCGCCGGTGTAGTGGGCAAATACATCGAATACCCCTTCGACACAGTCAAAGTCCGCCTCCAATCCCAACCCGACCACCTCCCCCTCCGCTACACCGGCCCCCTCGACTGCTTCCGCCAGGCCCTCCGCTCCGACGGCCTCCTCGGCCTCTACCGCGGCATCTCGGCCCCCCTCGTCGGCGCCGCCCTCGAGAACTCGTCCCTCTTCTTCTGGGAGCGCATCGGCCGCGACCTCACCTACGGCTTCGGCCTCGCCTCCCACGACAAGCCGCTGTCTCTCCAAACCCTCTGGCTCACGGGCGGCTTCGCCGGCGCCATGACCTCCTTCATCCTCACCCCCGTCGAGCTGGTAAAGTGCAAAATCCAAGTCCCTGAAACGGGCGGGAAGGCCGCCGCCCCCCTGAAGCCAATCCCCGTCATAAGGGACATCTTCCGCCACCAGGGCATCTCGGGCTTCTGGCACGGCCAGCTCGGCACCCTCATCCGCGAAGCAGGCGGCTGCGCGGCTTGGTTCGGCTCCAAGGAGACCACCACCAAGCTCTTCCGTCAGTGGAACGAGAGCAGAGCCACTTCCCCGCAACATCTCGAGCAGATCAGAGCACAAGATGCCCTTCCCCTTTGGCAGCAGGCGGTAGCGGGCGCCTCGGCGGGCATGGCCTACAACTTTTTGTTTTTTCCGGCAGACACGGTCAAGTCGAGGATGCAGACCACGCCGATTGGGGAGGTGGGGCCCAAGAAGACGTTTATGGGGGAGACGGCCGCGTTGTGGAAGCAGGCTGGTCTGAAGGGGTTCTACAGGGGGTGTGGGATCACGGTGTTGAGGTCGGTGCCGAGCTCGGCGTTTATCTTTATGGTGTTTGATGGGTTGAAGAAGTATTTGCCTATGCAATAGAAGGGAGATGGGTAGATGGGGATCTATACGCTAGAGTTATACCAGGGAAGGAGAGGAGTTTGCATTGTCAAAGAGGCAGGCAGGCAACATAGACGGCAGCGGCGGGCGGGTATTTTTTATGTCATTCGACATTATCATCAGCGGGCGTTGGGAGAATGGGCACTGATTCGTTACTGGGAATTTGCTTTCGAGTTTGATGAGAAAGGGGAGGGGGAAAAAGCCCTGGATTTGGCAATTTTGAGTTGGGGGTATTTTGCAAGGTAGTAGCAATGAGATGAAGTGTGTGCATGTCAATGGTCTACATAAAACGGCGTTTTGTAATTATATTTTCAATGATCCCTCCCAAAGGGATCTATCCTGACCCATTGGTTCCGCCGTTACAAATCTTTACGCTCTTTTGACATAACCATGCCATCCTCACACTCACTTTTGACCTTGTCCCGAGTCCCACCTAAGCCACATCTTTGCCAGCATCATCCTCCACCCGGGTTAGAAACAAGTCCCATGAGCATACTACACATAAAAGATCGTCATACCTCCCCTCATTCCAGCCCCAGCCACCACCTCCGCCGTCTCACATTGCTCCTAATCACCCTCGCGTGTATCCATATTTCTCACCCCTTCCACAAAAACCACCTCGTCCCCAAACGCCCCAACTAAGACCTCTTCTTCTTCGTCTCCCCATCCGCCTTCTCATACGCCCCGCTCAAATCCCAATTGTTCAAGTACCCCGTCCCCGCGCTCAAATAAGTAGCAAAGCTCAACCAAGCCACATACGGCACCAGCAACCACCCCGCCGTCGCATCAACCTTTGTCCCCCATAACCAGGCCAGATACCCATTCACTCCCACCAGAGCAAGCACATCGGCGGTGGCGAGGATGGGACGGTTCCAGCCGAAGAAGAGAGGCATCCAGAGGAGGTTGAGGCCGAGCTGGATCGTGTAGAGGGTGGTGCCTTGGCGGGCGGCCGAGATTATGCCCGGGAGGTTGAGGGGGGAGGTGCCGATGCTGTAGGCGCGGTGGGAGGCGTAGCCCATTAGGCCGTAGAGGAGGGTCCAGACTGGGCCGAAGACTTGGGGGGGTGGGCGGAGGGGGGGTTGGTTGAGGGAGAGGTAGGTTCGGGGCACTTGTTTTGTTGGGGGGAAGTAAGAAGAGAGATGTTAGCTAAGGGGCTGGATGGGAGGGTTGGGGGGGGGGGCGGTTATGAGGGAGGTTACTTACGCCTTGTTGACCATCCTACTGCTGAGCCTAGGGTTATGGGGAGGAGGATGGAGGCTGGGAAAGAGGAGAAGATGGACTCGGGGAGGGTGAGTTGGGGTATGTAAGTGGTCATTTTGGCGGTGTTTTGTGAGTTATCGCCGGTTTGATGTTTTGGCAGTCACTGAAGCGGCTGTTAGTTTGGAAAAGTCGGGGTTGTGGTGGTTATAAAGGCTGCGGACGGATTGCGACGGGCAAGCCGCCAACCTAGGTATGACGACATACCTCGCTTTGGAAGCAACACCCCACCTAAGCAGTTGCAGTCGATGCGGGACCAACGTTGGTTGAATGGCCTGATGTGATGATGATGATAATGGGAGTTGGACTTTGAGATATGTGTGTTGGAGATATCAATTGATCTTTGGCAGAATGGTGGTGAAGCAGATGATAATCAATGGTGTTCGATGATATCAAGCTACAGATAATGAAGACGGGCACTGGGGAGACAGGTACACGATTATATAGCATGCGCCTTTCTCGTGGCAATTATTCAAATGGAGTCAAGTAATGCTGATGCTATTTTCCAATTTCGATCTTGTGAAGCCATTTCGATCCTTCTCATGAGGGGCACTACAGTGGGATCGGCCAAGATGGAGCTCAGCCTCGGTGGCCTGACTGACGGATGCAAGTTCAAGATCAGGGTCCTTCTAACAAGATAGAGTCATCCTGGAAATAAAACAGTATATAGCGACCACCTTCATGAAATCACATAGTTAGAGCTTGACCGACCTACAAGTTTTGGTATTACCTTGGAAGGAGGGGCGCCGAGCTCTTTCCTCAGATGGAGACAGTAAACAGTCAATAGTTCTCCCACGAGAACAGTCAGAGATATTGCTTGGCAATCAAAATAAACAGATGACAATTCCCCTCGAACTCACAATAATAGTTACGGCACAACAGTCTAAGAACTTTTGCCAGCAAACCGCCAGCCCAGACAGAAGACAGCAAAGACAAGAGCAAGAGCATCTCAGGAAGTGGGCCCGTGCCGAATCCAAGCCCCCAGATTCTCCCCGTGGCCCCTGTCTTGGAGTGGAGAGCATCACGTGAGGTCCCAGCCGAGACAGCCAAAGAGTGGACCTCTCTGGGACTCTGGGGATTCTCAGATTCCGCAACACTCGGCGTCGTCGCGATACCCACGTCAACCTCGAGCGCGCATCAGCTGCTGCTCAAGAGACCACATCACTCCAACCATCGCGCATTGTCCGCATTCTACATAATTGTTCGTTTGGACCCTTTCCTGTCTCTCTATTCTTCCCCCAAGATTTCACTGGCCTTATTTCTGCCCCTGACTCTTCTCCTGTCATTTGGAGTTGCCCTTGTTAGCATGCCCAGCTTGGTACCTGGAAGCTGCTTTTGACCTTCATGTCAGCCTCCTCCTCCTCCTCCTGACTCTCCCTCCTGTGCCTGCCTCCACCAATATCCTCCCCTGATTGAGACGGCTTGCGGTGGTGACAATGGCATCTTCTACATTTTTTGGTTTATTTGGGCGGCTTCATGCGCTATCGTTCTTGTTTCATTTACTTTGAATCCCGTTGCCATGTCACCTAACCACCCCCGTCCACCTTTTCCGCCATGCTCCGCTGTGTTCCGCAGAAACCATCTTTCTAACCCGCAATCATGTCGCCAAACAGAAGCTCCCGCTCTGCAAACCAAACAATAGTTTTTCGACTTATCTAGCAAGCGACAAACAAGTCTCCCCAGACAACCGCAACAACGCAACCAGCGTCGACGGGCCCCTCGCAATAAAGAGCCACAAGCACCTTTGAATTTAGGGTGTCGCGCATCACCAAGAAGATCCATCTGCTATTGATCCACCTCACCGCAATGGATTACTATCGCGATTCGGCCCGCTCTCCGGGTGACCGCGCTTGGAGTGGCCGCGACGAACCGAGAATCAAGGAGGACAGACCAGACAGTTTCTACCGGAGCAGATCTCCAGGTACGTTGCCTGGATACTTTTGTCTTTACGTTGACTAACCCGCTGCGCTCAGGGAATGACCGCAGTCGCCGTCGGTCGAGATCCCCCCCTGCCGTTGATCGATACGAACCGAGAAGCCGCGGTGGCCGTGAGGATTATGCTAGTGGCAGAGATCGCGGTGACCGTGACGATCGCCGCCGAATGGTTTCTCCCCCTGCGAATATCGACCGTTATGTCCCAGGTCAAGAAGCGGCCGCGCCCATGCCACTTGCAAACCCAATTCAAGATCCTTTGAAGCTGCCCTACCAGGTGGGCTTTTCCTACTTTGGCGAATGGTGGAGAGCGAACGAGAAAATCAAGGAGGAGAAGGAGCGACTCAGAACTGGTCGTCGCCGGGAGCCAGAGCGCGTTCGGAGTGCCCGCGAAGCCCAGGAGGAGCGAGACAAGGAAAAGGCCAAGATTCAAGTTGCCTATGACGCCTACAAGGAAGATCTTCAGGCAAAGATGGCTCAGAATTTCGTCAAGCTGCACAAAGAGGAGCAGTGGTTCAGGGAGCGCTACGTCCCGGGAATCAGGGACGCCTTCCGCCAACAGTTGCAAGGGCACCGGCGTGAAGCATACGCTCAATGGGAGCAGGACCTCAACAATGGCGTCTTTGATGAACTTTCGTTGGAGGGCATACCCAAGAGTGAGAGCAATGGTGCCGGTGGAGTTGTAGAAAAGGAGGAAGGTGAAGCCACCGCTGCTAGCGAGGTTCTCGGCGTCGGTGACCTGGTGCCCGTCAGTAGCGATGTAAGAGACGACAGTCTTTACCAGCCAACCTTACTCATCAAGACCATTGCCCCCTCGGTTAGTCGTCAGAATCTGGAGGCGTTTTGCAAAGAGTATCTCGGAGAAGGTGAGGGCGGGTTTAAGTGGTTGTCACTGAGCGACCCCAACCCCAGCAAACGCTTTCACCGTATTGGCTGGATTATGCTCAATCCCGCCTCCGAAGCGCCTGCGTCCGAGGATGGGGACACCAAAGATGAAGACGGTGACATCGAACCTCCCGTCATGTCAACTGCCGAGAAGGCCCTCGAAGCTATCAACGGCAAGACTGTCAAGGATGAGCAGCGAGGTGATTTCATCTGCCACGTTGGTGTGCACAACCCGCCGGCCAACCCAAGAAAGAAGGCCCTCTGGGATCTCTTCTCTGCTCCCGAGCGTATCCACAAGGACCTTGAATTGGCCACAGATTTGATCCACAAGTTCGAAAGTGATTTCGGCTCTGATTTCAATGCCAGTCTCCATATTGAGGAGCATGTCGAACAGTTGCGGGCTAACGGGCAACTCCAACCTGCTGTCGCTGCTGCTCCCGTCAAAAAGCCAAAGGTAGAGCGATCTCTCGATGCCGATGAAGCTATGGACGCAGAGGTTGAGGAGGGAGAGGAGGGAGCGGTCGATGATGGAGAAGATGAGGATGAAGGTATGGTGGACGATGAAGTTGACGATATCGACTTGCTAGTTGCAAAGAAGCGACTTGATCTCTCCATCGAATATCTCCGCCGCACCTTCAACTTCTGCTTCTTCTGCGTGTTTGAAAGCGACTCTATCCATGAGTTGACGAGAAAGTGCCCCGGTGGCCATCTCCGTAGACCTCGCAGCACTCTCTCGTCCACTGCCAAAGCTGTTGCTCGAGCGAGCGCAAACGGCGACCCCTTCCCGTCCAAGAAGCGTAAGGAAGCGGAAGACGTCGAAGAGGGCGAGGCTCCCGAAGCTGAGCGCAAGTTTAAGACATCCTCCAAGACGGAGCAACAGCTCCAACGCGCCTACAACTGGGTGAAGACCTTTGAGGAGAAGATCAAGCAGATCCTTGCACCGGAAACTGTCGATCTCAGAAAGCTCGGTGGCAAACCGGTTGAGGATGCTGTCAACGATGAGCTTGGAAAGTATGTCAAGCAGGAGGATGAGCACAAGTGGCGCTGCCGAGTGCCTGAGTGTACAAAGCTCTTCAAGGAGGAGCATTTTTGGAAGAAGCACGTGGAGAAGCGTCATCCGGAGTGGCTGGATAAGCTCAAGGAAGAGGTAAGAATTTCGATGATTTCATATGCCGGTGGTAGTGGCTAACAAACGGGTACAGTTCGAACTGGTCAATGCCTACGTTATTGACCCTGCGCATATTGCGCCTTCTCGTACCGATGCCAACTCCAACGGGCACTTCCCTCCGTCCGGCGGCCAGCAGCCGACGGGCACTCCCCGCGGGTTCAATCTCCAGAACTACGCCATGAACAATATGCTCAACTTTGGGACCTTCCCAGCCATGCCTCTGCTCAACATGATGGGCGGTGCTGGCAACATGAATGCGGCTGGTTGGCAGCACGGAGGCGGCGATGATCGTGGTGGCGGTCCTATTCGACGGGGTGGCCCTCAGGGGGGCAACCGTCCTCAGAGCCGATCACACCCGTATGAACGCCGCGGTGGTAATCGACCCTATGGCGGTCCCGAGGGTGCTGGAGGCCCACCAGGAGGTCGTGGTCGTGGAGGCCCAAGTAACAGATGGGGTGACGGCGGTGTTACTACCACTGGTCCGCGTGAGGCTGTCCAGGGGCGCACCCTCAAGAGCTACGAAGACCTGGATCAGGTGTCTGGTGGTGGCGGTGGGGAGCTCAACTACTGAGAAAAGGTGATTTTCTCTTTGGCATCACCCCTAAGCTCCCTCCCCCCCCCGCTTGCAGCCTTGTTGTGGGCATGAAGTGTTGTTTTTCACACCGAGGCTAGCTCGACCAGAAACCAAGGTTCAAAGGGAAGGGTGTTTTTTTTTTTTTTTTTTTTTTTTTTTTGCTTTCGTTTCAGTTTGCGCTTCAGCTCATTCTTCAAATTATTCTGCGTGTTTTTTTCTCTTTTCAAACTACCCAAGTTTCATTCCTATCACTGCACAATATCATATCGTATGTCGTCATTCATCACCCCCCCACAGTGTTTTTTATTGCGTTTTGAGAAGTTTTTTTGTCGTGTACCATTAGGGAAGCACTCTCTTTCTTCTTTTTGGCTGGTTTCTCTCTACTACTAGTCGTCCTTTTGATCTGGGTTTCTTAATTTGTCTCGAGGCGAAAATTGGCGAATAAGGGGCGGGGGGATTATTCAGGTGTGCAGTTGGAGGTTTAGTTTTGTGTGTTGTTGTTTTTTTATCTCATTAAATATTACCAAATTTGCATTGTTAACATCATGTGCTGAGTGACTAGATTATGTTTGGGGTAGAAGTAGTTCATAACTTGATGTTGTTGTTGGTTGTGAGGTCTATGATGTTGGGGACTGAATGCTTGGCTTTGACCCCCCCTCCTTTTTGGAAGTAAACAATTAACGTTAACCCCCCCGGCAACCTACCCTCAACCCGCAGAATCGGGTTTGAATGCATGAGGCGGTATCATGTTTTTGCGCGCCACAGCAAAACCCCCTTCTTCTACACTCACTGTTGCCTTATTTCGGCTCTTGATATATCAGACGCAGATGTGGTGGTCCTTGAAATTCAGTACGTCCCGCTTTACATGAGAATAGGTAGGCAAGACCTGAGCGCGAGTGACAGTTCAGATTGCAAATGTTGCTTCTGCCATAACGTTAACAAGGGTTTACACTACATGGTGGTGTCATGTCTGCACCCAAATTTTCCAATGACCTTTTGTTGTACCTAACCGTGGCATTTCACTTGGGTCGCATCTCTGGACAGGATCACACATAGCCCTCTCTCTGCACTTGTCGCTATTGTGCTTGATGACTATATTCTTTCCATGTCAATAGAAGTGAGGGTACAAAACGATACATACATCAAGGTATTTGAGAAGCTCCCTCCGCTATGACTACATAACAAATACACAGTAAACTTCTCGCAATCCTGGCAAGTTCATCAGATAAGATGATTAACACGATGGCATCCTTCATAGCCCGAGGCACTCTTATCACACACTTTTATCCCACATAGCAGAGCTACACATATATTCATTGCCCAGGGTATCTATCCCCCCAAGCAAACATTGTATATTCCATTTTTCATTACAACTTTTTAACCCTTTCTGTCACAAAAGTTAATGTAGTCTACCTGCTCAAGGCGATATCATCAATCCGCAAAATCATCTTCACCGTCTCCGCCGCCAACTCAATCGCGCTCGTGCTCACCAACAATGGCTGCAGCACATTCTCCTTTGAAATATCCGAGTTGACACCCCCGCTCTTGATACTGACACCAGCATTTTTCTCGCCCATCTCGTGCTTGTGGCGCAGGGCAGTCACAACCTTGATGCTGTTCAACCCGGCGTTTTCCGCAAGAGTAGTGGGAATAACCTCCATAGCGTCGGCAAAGGCCTTCCAGCAGATGGCCTCGGTGCCGGTCAAGGCACGTGCTTGCTTGTTGAGCTGGGCGGCAATTTCAATTTCGGCGGCACCGCCACCGGCGATGAGAGCCTTCTTCTTGACGAGGCAGCGGACGACGCAGAGGGCATCGTGGAGGGAGCGCTCAGCCTCGTCGAGGATGAGAGCGTTGGCGCCGCGGACGACGACTGAGATGGTCTTGCCGGTGGACTTGCAGCCGGTGACCTTGACCATCTTGCTGCCAGAGGACTGAACCTCCTCAACAAGGTCAGCGGAGCCAAGCTTGTCCTCAGTGAAGCTGTCAATGTCGGCGATGGGCTTGCAGCCGGTGGACTTGCAGATGAACTCGACTTCGTCACGCTCAATGTCCTTGACGACGAGGATGCCGAGGCGCTGAAGGAAGTGGAGGGAGAGGTCGTTGACGGCGTCGCGGAGGATAGACTTTTGAATGAAGAGAACGTTGCACTTGGCCTTCTTGATCTTCTTGACCATGTTGAGGAGGTACATGCGCTCCTCCTTGACGATCTTATCCATTTGTCTGTAGTCGTTGACCTGGATGGTGTTTTCCATCTGTTGCAGTGATTAGCTAACGTAGTCCCAGGTAAGAAAGCATAGTCATAGAACATACATCAGGCTTAGGAGGGCTGAGCTGGAACTGAATAAGACCGATCTTGGCCTTCTCCATCCTTATGGGCCCTCCCGCGCTCTTGATCACTGGCTGTGTGAGAACCAAACCGTCCACCAACTCGCTGTCTTCTATCGTCCCGCCGACCTTCTTGATAATGCGAATATTCCTCAGGTCGACGTTATCTGCCGTCTTAAGGTCGATCGTCTTGGTAACAGCGTTGACGGCCATTGGGCCGAGGAGGTTGGAGTATTGGGACACAATCTTGGAGGACAGCGAGGTGTTGGCGGCTTGAAGGAGGGAGGAGGTGTCGGTAAGGGCGATAGGTTGTGACATCTCATGCAAGACCTTGACCGCGGCGGCGGCGGCTCTTTGGAAAGACTCTGAGATGACGGAGGGGTGGATGCCCTTGGCGAGAAGGCGGTCGGCGGCGCCCAACAAGCTGCCGCAGATAACGACGACTGAGGTGGTTCCGTCACCGGCTTCGACATCTTGGGCGTTGGAAAGTTGGACAAGCATCTTGGCTGTGGGATGCATGACGGCCATGCTCTTCAACATTGTGCTGCCATCGTTGGTGATGATGGTCTCCCCCTTTCCGCTGCGGATCATCTTGTCCATGCCCCTTGGGCCCAGCGATGTCCGGACGGCATCGGCAAGAGCTACGAATAGTTAGACCTGGAAGACACCGACGTATAGTACTGTTGTATATAATTAGAGGCATACCTCTGGCGGCGACGATGTTGGCGGAACGGACGGCCAACGGCTTCTCCTTGTCCTATGGCGGGGGTCAGCCAGAGCTCCAGCGCGACTCGACGGAGCCCTGCAAATAGGGGCTGGCAGTTGGGTACATACCCTGAAGGTGGCATTGCTGGGACCAGCGGCGGCTGGTGCTACGGCAGCCATTTTGTAGATATGAAGGTTGGATCGAGGGGGGGTACTCGGTCGAGGCGGTCAAGGGTTGTGCAGTTTGGCGGTGGTGGTGATGGCGGTGTTGCGATAACTTATTAGTGCCCCTCTGTTTGCTTGTAGGCAGCTCCTTCTCCCCAGGCTACGCTTCAAAGGTGGGACGGGAATTTTTCCTGTCGGGTGTTGGAGTTCTTCCCGCCGCCAGCAGCTTCCCCCACTGTTTCCTTGGGGGGGAGGTGGCCCGGGCGTTCACACGGCAGCCGGGGAACACCCAGTTCCACCGCGCTAGCTGTAATGGGACTAGGCCCTTTTCAGCCTCGCAGCCGGGGGAGCTCTGGGCGGGCCCAAGGCAGCATGGATTACGGAACTGCTGCTTGGTGTTGCTTCCTCTGCGTTCGTTGAATCCATGGCGACTTTCCCTCTCCCATCATCACCCAACCACCACACAACCACTTGACGACTATTCTGCACCGAGGAATCGCGCCTGGTCCCAAGTAATAAGCGACTTCAACTAGTTTTGTCCGGTGCACTCTCTCCGATTTCCAAACACAACACATTCCAGAAATCCAGCAGCTTACCCATCGACAGCCGTCATTATGGTACGCATGTCCATTGACCCAATCGTCGCTCGAGTTCCCACTCGTCGCCACCACCCGCTGCCAGCACTTTAGAAATGCTAACTTCTCTCTACTTTAGCCTTCTGCCACAGGTGCCAACTGGGAAAAGTACCAAAAGAAATTCGGCGATGACGAGATAGAAGAGAAGAAGATCACGCCCCTCACCGATGAGTCCGTTGCCCTCGACCCACCAACACCGATGCGCAACTTGAGCTAACCTCCGCAAAGAGATATCCAGGTTCTCAAGACCTATGGCGCCGCGCCATATGGTTCCGCCATCAAGAAGCTAGAGCAGCAAATAAAGGAGAAACAGCAGAGCGTGGATGACAAGATTGGTGTCAAGGTAGGCAGCGGTGCACTTGCGTCTAGCGGACCCAGAAACTTATACATGTTGTCTCTATACAGGAATCAGATACCGGTCTCGCACCACCTCACCTTTGGGATATCGCCGCCGATCGTCAACGAATGTCCGAGGAGCAACCTCTTCAGGTAGCGAGATGCACCAAGATTATTCAGGACGACAAGGACGAGGCGAAGTCGAAATATGTCATCAACGTCAAGCAGATAGCAAAGTTTGTCGTGAATCTCGGCGAGCGCGTCAGTCCAACGGATATCGAAGAGGGAATGCGGGTTGGTGTCGACAGAAACAAGTACCAGATCCTTCTCCCACTGCCGCCCAAGATCGACGCCAGTGTCACCATGATGACGGTCGAAGAGAAGCCCGATGTTACATACGGCGATGTTGGTGGTTGCAAGGAGCAGGTGGAAAAGCTCCGCGAGGTTGTCGAGATGCCCCTGCTTTCGCCCGAACGGTTCGGCAACTTGGGCATTGACCCCCCCAAGGGTGCCCTTCTTTACGGCCCTCCCGGTACCGGCAAGACCCTCTGCGCTCGTGCGGTAGCCAACCGAACAGACGCCACCTTCATCCGTGTGATTGGATCCGAGTTGGTTCAAAAGTACGTTGGTGAGGGTGCCAGGATGGTGCGTGAGCTGTTTGAGATGGCGCGGACGAAGAAGGCCTGCATTATCTTCTTTGACGAGATTGACGCCATTGGTGGTGCTCGTTTTGATGACGGTGCGGGCGGTGACAATGAAGTCCAGAGAACCATGCTGGAGCTCATTACTCAACTGGACGGTTTCGACGCTAGAGGCAACATCAAAGTCATGTTTGCCACCAACAGACCTTCGACTCTCGACCCTGCTCTTATGAGACCGGGTCGTATCGACCGCAAGATTGAGTTTGCTCTTCCCGATCTCGAGGGCCGGGCCAACATTCTGAGGATTCACGCCAAGAGCATGTCGGTGGAGAGGGACATCAGATGGGAACTCATCTCGCGGTTGTGCCCCAATGCTACGGGTGCTGAGCTGCGCAGTGTGTGCACGGAGGCGGGCATGTTTGCTATCCGCGCGAGGAGGAAGGTGGCGACCGAGAAGGACTTCTTGGATGCGGTGGACAAGGTGATCAAGGGTAACCACAAGTTTAACTCTACTGCGGCTTATGCGCAGTATAACTAAAGGGTTAAGGGGGTTGTTATGGGGAGCAGGGACGTTGTGTGTGTTTTCGGGTTGTGTATGACTAGAAAGGTTAATAATTTACCTGAGAAAGTTGACTTAGAGTAGGGTGGGGGATGAAGTAGGAGTTGAAGACAATAAACAAGCGAAGATTATTAACATGTTTGAAGTCTAGTGGTGTATTCAAATGTTTGTGGGTATATGTTAGCTCCAATTTGTTGCCTGCCATTTATACCTCTACGCTGATGTCGTGAAAACGCTAAACCCACACGCAATGCTTTCCTCCCGTTGCTATGCTCATCATGCGTTTCCCACCTCTTGACTATGTACAAAATCATAACAAGTGAAAAGAACTATGTATCATAATCTACCCTCACATGCTGCTGCTGCTGGTCCGCTTTGGGGGCAGGTTTCTTTGCTACCCAAACAAGTCTCCATTCCCAATCAAGCCTCCTCCTACACATGGACCGTTCGTTTCCCCTTGTTGTGTGGCTATTTTCCAGCCATTATTATGTACAATTTCCTCAACAATATGCCCTCCTCCCCGGACAGGGCCTGTTTGTCCTCCTGGGCTGGGACCAACTTTGCGTGCTTCTATAAGCCTGATATTGGGATGTTTGTCGCCGGAAAGGGGGGGGGGGGGGGTAGTGTCGTTTCTTGCCGTGTCCTCCAATGTCACCCAGTAAACATCCCAGAGGGAACATTTGTCCAGATACACGCTTCTCTACCACATCCACATCCTTGTTGTTGGAAGGTGGTTTTTCGCCGTTCTGGGAGGTTGATCCTCCTCGTCGGTGGTGATACTCCAGCACTCGCCTCCTTCCTAGCCCCCATCCCTCATTAGGTACCGAACCAAAAACCAGAATATATCCCCCTGCCAGAAACGCCCAAGATTTTTGCCTTTTATATTTCCTCCGATACCATATTTTCCCCCTTTCAACCCTCCACAAACGGTAAACACCCCAAACAAACCACATCCCCATCCTGGCCCCTTTCAACGCAACACCTGCTGCAGACCATCTTCCTGTGCCCAGCCCCACCCCCTTTTGTTGTCCAGCCTCCACTTTCTACTGGTGGTGGTGGTTGTTGCTCCTCAGCAGAATCAACATCAATCATTGTAAACGACGGCTCTGTCTGTAATGATAGTGGTGGTGGTGGTTGCTGGGACGGTGGACTCCAACCAAGACACTCCCTTATGCACACGTAGCACGTCCGCTGACCACATCCTTGACAATCGGCGAAGCTGTCCAAGTCGGATTTCTTGGTTGGTTTGCGGGAGCAGATGTGGCAGGGGGTTAGGAGGGAGGTTTTGCTGGCTAGGTTTGGTCGGGGTTTTGCTGGGAGTGTTTCCTCTTCTTCTTTTTGGTGGAATTTGCTGGTGATATCGTGTTGTCTTTTTGGGTCAAGTTCAATGTCGACTGAGGTCATTCGTTGGCGTTTGGAAGAAAGGGGGATCATTTTCCTGGTGTTGGTTGCCAGGGGGGATAGGTTGCTGCTGCTGCTGCTGCTGCCATGGTGGTAGTGGTGGTAGTTGTCTGGGTAGATGTTGTGGTGGTGGTGGGAGCTGTAGACAGCATGGTTAGTGGCAGCGGCGGCAGCGGTGGAGTTCGCGAGAAGACTCGCGTACAATGTGAATTGCTGGGTGCTGTCATCGCGATCGTCGTCTCGTCTCCGCTTCTTGCACGGGACAGAGGGGGGGGACGAGGTGTTGGTGGTTTCTTGGGCGATGGACGGCATGTTGTTGTTCCCCTTGGCCATTAAACACGCTTGCTGTTGCTGGTGGAGGCGAAGGAGGTGCGGCGACAGGGCGGCAGAAAATGGCAAATGGCAAGCTCATTAAAGTCGGAATAATCTCATCGAAGAAAATGGAACAAGGAGCGAAGTTGAGTTGAATGGGGGTGGGAGAGCGGAGGCGAAGATGGTTCTAAGCTTCCAGGATCCGCCTTCCTCCGTCGGGTGCGCTGACGCTTTGCTGTGCAGATCCGATGGGAGTCACGTAAAGTGCAAAGTGCGCTGCTGTGGTGAAATGGCAGTTGTTGCTGGGCAGAATTTTGGTGGTCGATTTATTAATTGCTGCTAGGTGCTGGCCCTGGCTTGTTGTAGCGAGCAACCCACCCACTCAGAGCCCAGATAAATCGAGACACTTCACACAATGCCACAGTGATTTGGTACGGTGAAGAAAGGGGGAAGCTGGCGTTGAACAAGTCATTTCCCCCTTCAAAGAACCTCCCACCCAATGGATAGCTCCTGGCTGAGGTTTTCCTTATGCCAGGGCAAAAGCAGGGCCACCCCCAAAAACCTACGCATCTGACCTGCTAATCAATGATATTAGTGGACCCCGAGTTTGGATGACATGGCCGCTACAAGATGCACGACCCAAAAGAGTGCAGAGTGCCAAGCAACCTGGTTCTGATGCCTGATGGTAGGCATGGGATATCGAATGTCATTCACAAAGGCGACAGTTGAAAGCTTATCGAAAGCAGACACGTGTATAGGCGGTGGTAGATGGTTCCAGGAAGGAGCTATTGGGCTTGCCATTGCGTAGGGTGATCATTGATCGGGATGGCTCCTTTGATGGTGTTATCGAGCGATGCTGGCGTCCACTGCAATTACGCCCATCACGTGGGGGCTAGGCTTAAACCAGCACCGCCCCACCCGGCCTGTCCTCCAACTTTCGAACTTCTCTCCCTCATCACTCCCGCGTCAACCCGTTCGCTTGGAGCCTCAACGCCTCGCAACAACTCACCGCGAATCCGCGAACCCATTGACGAAATCCACCCCCATCGAGAGAAAACCCGTGTCGAACATCAGTAAATCGACATCGAGATATGAGTCGCGCCAACAAACTTGGCCCGGAGGTTAATCGGTGAGTCGAGAAGACGCAACAAGTGCTGCAAGTTGCTGCACTGCTGTCTCGTTCTTTCAACAATCTCGCTGCCTTTCTGGTCGCCTTCTCCACCAGGCCCGACAACCAGTTCAACGGCCACCCATCTGGGGGTGACTGTCCACCATCACCACCATTTCCCATCATCGTTTCCACCATCAAAGATCATTTTTAGAGACATTGGCTAACCATAGTATCCATGGCTAGAGCTTTGTTCGTCAAGAATCTAAGGTATGTATCTTCCACCAATCGAATGTGTCTTTATCGCCGTCGCAACCCCGACTAACCCCGGACTAGCTACAACGTCACTCCTGAGGAGCTGTTCGATCTCTTCGGCAAGTACGGGCCCATTCGCCAGGTCCGCCAGGGCATTGCGAGCAACACCAAGGGCACCGCCTTCGTTGTCTACGAAGATGTTATGGATGCGAAGCAGGCCTGCGACAAACTGAACGGCTACAACTTTCAGAACCGTTATCTCGTTGGTATGTTTTGAAGGAGTGCTTATGCCTGTGACGGTCGTACTAATCAGTGACACAGTATTATACCACCAGCCCGACAAGATGGTCAGGTCAAAAGAGGATTTGGACATCCGCAAGGAGAATCTCGAACGCCTCAAGCGGCAACATGGTATAGATTGACAGTTAGACGGGCCTGCGGACAGCTTTCAGAGTCGAAACCGACAGTCTGGAGGCCCGTCTTCTCTGACATCTCCCTCCTCCCCCAACAAGGCGGCTTCGGCGCCCAGGACGCCAACTTCAAAGACGCCGAGGTCAATCCTCAAAAGGGGCAGGCCCGATATCGCCATGCACGCACGAAAGATGCCGCACTTCGTGCGCAAGCTTCTTCCCACCGTTCCGGAGTGCGCCTAGCTTCGATATCATTACCCACCACATCATCACTTGTACGGCATAAGTGTACCAAAGGCTGCGTTCAACACTGCAACGTAGCCAGCAAGCAAACCCATCCTTGCTTTACCTGCCCTCTCAACTCTCTAAAAAAAAACAGCAAACTTGCAACATTTACATCGGGGATTTCTTTAGGCGCGTTCCTTTTCCAGTCGGGTTGTGTGGCTGGGGGAATATGGGGAATGTTTTTGCCGATTCGGGGTGTTTGGTCTTCATAGGTTCTTTCGGCGCGAGCAAAGGTTATCAGGCGCAGATTTCAATGCCCTTCTTTTCATCTCAGGGGTTGCTGTTGTTGCTGATATCCATACTGAATCGGGGCGCAAATTGATCACCGGGACTCTGACATAGCGTTGGGCTACAGAGAGAATTCCGATGCTTTTCCAACAGTCGTTTTCGGTCTTTTGTTTTGTCTGTCATTTAACTGCTCATGTTTGATTTATTTTCTAAACGACACCATGTTGATATGATGCAAGTTAGCCTAGCTACGTGTGGATGTATGTATGTATGTATGTATGTATGTTGTCTCGCCTCGCCTGCTCGCCTATGAATATGCATGGCATGTAGTACATGCAATATACCGTGCCGTACACACTGCTCATAGCATTCTACATAAGCACATAAGGTACTGTAGATATCCGAATCCGGAGGCGGAGTCTCTAACTGGAAGTGGATTCAACTCGCTATCAGATTGTTTCCAGAACCGGGCCGAAGTTGACTTTTGCCGGCAGACAACAGCCAGCAGCCGGCACACTCCACACTGCCCAGCAATTCTGGAACCGCCATGAATGCCCAGCCGTGGTGGGGCCGTCAGTCTGGCGGGCGCTGTGGGGAACCTCTGCGACCGCTGAAAGAGTGCGAGCGATAGGGCCAACGGTGCCATGGCCAATGGGGCAGCAGTGTCTCAAGTTGTGGCCTCGCATTGCCTCTCTGCTTTGCGCCGTCGTGCTGTGTTCCAGGAGAACCCAGGCAGTTACGTTTACAATACAACCGTGGCTCCGACTCCGTCTTATAGTTTTGTTTCGTCGTTTTCCATCTCTTCTGTTCTTCTCCTCTCTTGAGTCTTTTAAAGCTACCTTGCAGTTTGCTGTCGTGATACCCCAACGCACACCGTCCACACAATCCACTGCATTACATCACTCCAGTCACAAGACGCGCACTAAACCACCACGAAGAACCGTCACCAGGCACCTACCAGAGAAGAATACGCCACACAAATCCAAGAGCGATCATCTGATCGAGCCTAGCTGCTGTGTTGTTATTATCAAAACCTTTTTACCCCGGAAAATAGTCTCCGTTCTAATTCCCAACCAACGCCAAACGCTTGATGAGGTGGTCAGCTCTTAGCCCCGGACAGCATCTACACCAATCGTAAATGTTGCCTCCCGCCGCCGCAGCCGCCTTGTCCAACAACAACGTTCACCTCGCTGTTCGTCAACACCTCGATCCCGTTGTCGTCCCCACGCTCGAGAACACCATTGCCGTCGCCATCCCCAATGTCGCAACGTCTCTCGCGGCAGCAGCAGCAGCAGCAGCGGTAGATCCAACAAATCTACCCCATCCACCACCGTCGTTCAACGACCACCCGCAAGGAGGTCAACAACCCGCGACGGCGGAAGCAGGAACCCTCATCTCCGTCACCATGACTCCCACCCTCTCCCCAATATCAAGCCCAACCGCAACCGGCACCCCCTTCTCCCCCTCGGAAAATCCCACCGAATGCCGCCTCCTAGGCTCCTTCGCCATCCTAGTCCAGCTCGCCCTCGGCGGCCTGGCCCTCCTCTCCCTCGTCTACAAACGATGGCGCGAGCGCCCCCAGCGACCGGTCAAAATCTGGTTTTTTGACGCCTCAAAGCAGGTCTTTGGGAGCGTGCTAGTCCACGGCGCAAACGTGTTCATGTCTCTGCTCACGAGCGGGAGGTTCAACATCACGACCATTGCTCCCCCGGCAACGGTGTCCGAGGCGGCGAGGAGAGGGGTTTTGATGCTTCTTAAACGGACAGCAACGACGACAACGACGGTAGACGAATATGTACCGAACCCGTGCTCTTTTTACCTTTTAAACTTGGCTATTGATGTAGGCTCCCCCTACCCTCCCCTTAGATCTTCCCCCAACCAAATACTAACACGGCCAGACAACCCTCGGCATCCCAATTTTAATTCTCATCGTCAGAATAACCACCACTTTGGTCACTTACACCCCGCTGGGCCAACCCCCGGAGTCGGTTCAGTCAGGGCACTACGGCTCGCCCCCCAACGCGTGGTGGTGGTTGAAGCAGTCATTTATTTACTTTTGCGGCTTGATGGGCATGAAACTTGTTGTTCTGGTCATTTTTATGATTTTTCCCTGGATCTCGGAGCTGGGGGATTGGGCGCTCAAGTGGACCGAGGGCAACGAGAGGCTGCAGATTGTCTTTGTCATGATGCTGTTCCCGCTCATCATGAACGCGATGCAGTATTACATCATTGATAGCTACATCAAGAAGCAGGAGGGCAAAGGGGAGGTGGAGGGTAAGGGGTATGATGAGGTTGACCAGGAGGAGGGGGTGGATGGGTCGGTTGCGAGTGAGGATAGTGAGGATAGTGAGAGTGAAGAAGAGGAAGGGCAGAGGACGCCAAGGGCTGGGAAAGGGGCGAGGGACTTGGAGAGGGACGAGTATGATCCTGATGTGGACGGGGACAGCCAGACGGTGGTGGGGAGCAGCTCGAGTCGGATTTCGAGTCGGGGGGTGTTGACAGAGGATTTGCTTCCCAAAGAATGATTTTCTTTTTTTTTGCATGACTGAAGAAGGAATGATGGGAAATGGGTTCACGGCATTTTTCTTTCCTTTTTCTGGTGTTTTTTGGCTTTGGGATTCAGGAGGGGGACGGAATGGCGTTTTATATAAGTTTTTTCCTACAGGTTTCGGATTCGTATACATTTTCATTTTCCTTTTCTCGTCTGCAATCATCAAGTTGGAATATCTCTCTCCACAGACCCCTCAAACCAACAGCACAGCATGGGAAAGCGTACGCATGGGCTTTTTCGGTATTTTAGAACACAAAGGTATTTTCGGCAATAAACAACAGAAACAGATCATCGTCCGGTGTTTGGAAGTTCTCATCTAAGTAGGGTAATCTTCGCCGTCATCTGTGTTAGCAACACGCAAATTTGACACCTCACAACCGGGCAAAACTATCCAATGTACAGTGCTTTCTCTCTCTCTCTCTTTCAACTCGATTACATCCATTAGTAAAAGCTCAACACAACAAAAGACAACTCTGCCAAAAATACACTAGAATCTTGCCAAAAGACCCAACCGACCCACCACATATTACCTTGCCTGTATCATCCACGCCTTCCAAGCTCCAACCACAAAAACATCCCAACAAGAAAAGAAAAACCCAAGCCTCCAAAGCAAGAGCCAACTTGTCGAGAGTGAGTGACACCAATCCAGCAAACCAAAGGCTGCCCTCCCCTCCATAGTAATCAAACCCAAAGCCAGAGCACCAAAACAACACCAAAAAACACCAAAACCTTACCCTCCCTTTTTTGCCTTTACCTCCCTTCGCAACAATGCACACCAGAAACGAGACCATAATATCAGACAGTCCCTTCCCCGTACCCCTTTCCCTCCACAGCCTACAACAAATCAAAACCCACCTCCTCCTCCCCCCAAACAGGCAGCTCATCCTCACTCTGCGGCAATTTAACGCTAAAACTCCTCACCCCCAACCTCAAGCCCTCCACATCCAAAACTCCATACTCCCTCCCCCCCGACCCCAAAACAACAACCACCAGCTCCTCCCTCAAAAGCTTTACCACTTCCCCTTGGCTCAACCCCTCCAATCTCCCCCTTTCAACAGCCCCAATCAAGCCCGTAGTCAACGGCACCGTCCCACTAACCTCCAACTCCTTCATCGCCTCCCTCATGCCTCCCATCCCGGCCCCGTCGGCAGCAAACACCCCCATGGCACCAACATGATTCTCTGCCTGCGCCCAGTCCGCCTTGTCCTCCGGTGGGGTCCCAAAGAAGAAATAAATGGAATACGGCCCATCCAATGCTTGCTTCTTGGCTCGGATATTCACAATCCACTCTCGGTAGCTGTCATCTTGGAGTCCTCCAACTTCCCTACCAGCAGGCCGATGCTTTGATGATGACTGCTGTCCTATTCTCGAAGACGCCCCCTTCGCCCGGCCACCCTTGATGCCTTGGGCTCGAAGCTCCCTCAGAAACATGTTGGCTGGACTTGACGCCCCGTACAAACGGTTAATAGCCCGTCGTACACCAGCTTGGGCATTACTCGCACCCGCAAGGTCCGTCAGCTCAGTGTAAGTGTACCCGAATTTGGTGAAGTCCCTGACGCTATCCGACGTCCAGAACCCCCCATTGGCATCAGCAAAGAACGGGGTGAGCGGTGTCTGTGAGTCTTGAATCTGGCCTCGAGAGGTCGTGTATGAATTCAGAACCGCTGCGGTAGGCGTCACCCATGATTGCGGGTACAATGTCTGCCACATGGCAAAGATACGGTCCACCATGGTGTGGTGTAGAAAGAAGATAGGGTCAAAGGCCGAGTAAGGTATGAACGACATGTGGCCGCCCTGGATATTTGGCATACCCATACCACCACCGCCAGCAAGAGTATGGACCGTGTCATGGAGAGACTCGAGGGAATCATACGAGGCGTTATTGACAAAAGGGATCCAGGCATTGTTGCTGAACCTGCTGTAGTTACCATAGTTCGAGAACAAAATGTAGAGCCGTTGGCTGAGTGACCGTTGGTTCTGATCGATCGTCATGGCCACCATGGAGTTGTTCGACTGGGCTCCGGGACCCCAATTAGTTGGACCCCTCAGGGTCTCAGTCCAGGTATTCCACTATTACAACATTGTTAGCATCCAAGACATGCTTGCCAGTATCAAAGCTTACCGGTGCCTGTCTGAAAGCAGTAGTATTCAGAGGCCGAAACGTGTAACTGAACAGAGGGTTTGCTATCCGCTGAACGCCATTCGGACCATCTACATCGACAAAGGGACTCCCACCCACGCTCGTGGGGAGCACACTTCCGTCAGAGGGCGGGTAGGTAGCCCAATCCCAATAAGGTATTCGAAACCGCTGGATAGCGTCGAGATAGCGCTGCTTCTGATCATCGGGCCACCAATTTGCAATCATCCGCATAACATTTGTCAAGACTTGCTGTCAACCATTATCAGCCAAAGAGCTCCAACCACCAGAAAAAGAAAACAATTCTGCCGAGAGGCTTCCAACCACATACCTCGTACAAAGCCAGATAAGGCCGGTGCCAAGTAGGGAACAATATCGAAGAGTGCGTACAATACCCAGTCTCCTCATTCCCAGGCGTCGGTCGCACACCACCCCATGTCTGGTGCGGCATTCCATGGATACCTGTCCAACACAAAAGACACAGACAGTTAGACAAAAACCACCACTCTCCTGTAACAGAAAGCAAAGGAATTTCGGGGATGGGCAGACAGAAGAAAAAACACAAACCTGTAATCCCATACCACGACGTAGGCTCCGTCTGATCCGTAAACTGCATCATGCTCATCCCCAGCAGGTACAACGTCCACACGTCCCTGTCCTGCTCCAGCTCCCTAATCTCCCTCCGCACTTGTACGTCCCCCGCCTGCTGGCCAGCATCCCCCCTCACCACCGTCGTCAGAGGTTCCGCAAGCTGCCGCTTCACCCGCCTGTGGACGTCGAACCCATAGTTGTAGGCTGTGGGTCTTGGTTGTTGTTGTTGTTGTTGGTGGTGGTGGTGGTGGTGGCCGAGGCAGAAAGTGACGAGGTTGGCGAGGATGAAGAGCCGAAGGACAATGACGGAGGCCATTGCTAACTTCATCTGAGTGAGAGAGAGCAACCCCCTGGGTAGGTGTCGAACGTTGGACACAGAGGAGCGGGTGACAACCCCGGCTAGAGGCAGTTTTGGGTCTCAATAGGTAGGCTTGGGTTGGGGGTTTGGGGGGGGGGGGGGGGGTGACACAGGTATCGTGGGAAGGGGAGACGAGGGGGGTCTGTAGGGGATGGGAACCCAGGATAAATGAGGTGATGGGTTTGGGCGGCCAGAGAGACAGAGCAGGTAGGTGAAGACGAGATAAAGTCACTGGAAATGAACGTGAATGGCCCGAGGCGGCACTCGGATGGGTTTGAGGAGGAAGGAAGAACTGTTTGTTGACAGAATGAAGAGTTCAGCTGGTAAACAGCAGGCCCAGGAACTGGGGAGTGAGTTTGACCAGCTGCGGATCCTTGTGGTACATCCATGGGCTATCACAGGGAAGCGACGTTCGGCATTAGGTCAGAATTGTGGACTCGAAGGTGAGACTGGCGAGACGGGCTGTCCCAGGTGGGTTGAGAGAGCATTGCACCTTCCTCGTTGGATCTTCTCAGGAAAGGGGAGTTGCGTTGGAGGCTACTGACGGATACAAACGGTCCGTCCAGGGGGTAGGAGCATGCTAGAGGCACCAATGAGTGCTAGAGGAGAGGCAGCGCCGTGGGTGTCTGCATTATTTTAACAGTGTTTGTGCTGCAAAACTCGGTTTCGTGCAGCGGCAAATGTCATCTCATTTGTGTTGCCTTGCCTTGCCTTGCGTTGCGCAATCCCGGGGTTGGCCACATGTGATGCTGCTTCGCTGCTCCTCATCCAGGGGAACATGTCATTTGACACTTCCAGCACCATGGTATCTGGATGGACACAGAAGAGAAATTGGTGACATGTGAATAAATAAATCGTTGACCCATTTTTGACCACCTTGTCTACGCCCCAAACCCAGACAAATTACAACTAAATCAGTACAAAACATCAACGTTCAGCCCTGAGATATCCTTCTCATTAAGCCGCAGCCACACCACTCGGAAGCAGCTTGGGCGCTGTTGGTCTCAGGGCACTTCTCCGTGTCTGATCTTTGCTGTCCACGTTATACTTGAGCTTGACGCCCATCGCCGCAAGCTCGACATCCAGGTACTTGAGCGCACCAGGGACCACCACCATGGTGGTGTTCTCTCCACCAATCCACTGGACGCCTTGCCCGTCCTCCCAAATCTCGCCATCCAGCTTCATGAGGTCCAGGTCCTCGATCTGGTCCAGACGCTGCGCGCAATTTCGGCAGCGCACAGTGCCGACTTGCTTTCGCTTTCCAATAAACGGAGATACCGTCGGCTGCACGGCCAGGAATGACCCGCAGTCTCGGCAGATCCACGACTTGGAATAATCGGAGCAGTTGAGCAGGCGATCCTGGAGCAAGAAGGCCGTGCCGTGCGCCAACAGAGCATCGCGCTCCATTTCTCCCACACGGATACCACCACCCTTCTTACGGCCCTTGATCGGCTGTCCGGTTGTCGGCACGACTGGACCAGTCGTACGGACCTGGTACTTGTCGTTTACCATGTGTCTCAGTCTCTGGTAGTAGACAACACCAATGTAAATGTCGCACATGAACTCCTCGCCCGTGATGCCGGAATACATGGGCTCGTTTCCGTGGTAGTTGTAGCCAGCCTTCATCAGCTGATGCCCAAAGTAGTCGGCCGCCATGTTCTCCTCGCTGAACTTGAACGGCGTCGAGTCCTGAGCAAGACCATGTAGCGCGCCTGCCTTGCCTGCAAGAGACTCGACAAACATGCCAATTGTCATGCGGGACGGGAAAGCGTGAGGGTTGATGATGACATCAGGCTGGATGCCCGTCTCCGAAAAGGGCATGTCGACAGCAGGCCACTTCTGCGAGCAAACGCCCTTCTGACCGTGACGAGAAGAGAACTTGTCGCCGATGACCGGAGATCTGGGAACGCGAAGCTTGATCGAGAGAGTCTGGAGAGGCTCGTTTCCAGTGTCGCTGCCAATCACGCGAACCTCCTCAATGAAGGCATCTTCGGCCTCCTTGTATCGCTCCCAATGCGTGATACCATCCCGGTTCACCAGCTTACCCGAGTAGTCGGCCGAAACGGTGTGCCAGGCGGCGATGATATCGCCTTCCCTGACCAGCCGGCCAACATAGGGCAGTCCGTCCTCGTCGAGCATCTCCCGATCAGACGCCCGGATGGGGCTTCCCGGAGCAAACCCAAACATTTTGGTGGTGGTCTTGGAGCTGCGTGTCCTCGAGTCATCCTTCAGACTGATCTTCTTGGTCTTGTAGATGCTACCGTGGCCAAAACCACGTTCGTGCGCTGATTTGTTGATAATCATGGCGTCGTCCATGTCGTAACCGGTATAGGAAATGACGGCAACCACGGCGTTGAATCCGTTGGGGAAGTTGTCGAAACCATATGTGTTGTGCAGTGGTGATCGGACGACTGGTGTTTGACCGGTTTGAATGCGGTACATTTTGTTGTCCGTCCGATGCGCGAGTGCTGCGCCTGGTGTGCCCATAGTTTGCTTACCCATTTGACATTGGTACATGTTACGGGGAGACTGGTTAAAATCCGAGAATGGTGTCATGTTGGCCAGAATGGACAGGATGTTGGTCGGATCAAACTCGACGTGAGTCGAATCGCCAGGAACAATTTCTTGTTCTACGCAAGCAATCGACATGTAAGGCTGCTCGTAAGGACCTACCATATCCTCCTTGTTCAGAGCGAGGTACTTCACGGGTCGGACCATCCTCGAGGTGTTGGATGCCATGTAGATACCTGGGTACGAGCCGCCATTGGAGGTGGGGACATAACCAATCTCAAGCTCAAGGGGAATCCCATGGCCACCCTCGACCTTCAGCTGTCGCAAGGTGTCGGCGAGAGGCTTGGCGTTCTGCGGAGCACACCAGCCTACAACCTTGCCGTCAAGCATCACTACCACGCTTTCAGTAGTGGCGGCTGAGGAATAGTTGTTGACTCCAAGCTCCAGCAGCACCCCAGGGACGGCCGAGACATCAGCGGCTTTCGTGGTGATTTTGCACTTGTGAGCAAAGTGATTTAACAACCCACAGGGCGAACCATCAGGAGTGTGGACGGGACAGAGGAAGCCCCAGGACTCTGGCAGCAGCTTACGGACCGTGGTGGTCTTGAGCTGCGCGAAGAAACTACCACGATGGACCATGCGGAAGTGACTGATGAAACGAAGGAAGTTGAGCTTTTCCGCCACAACGGTAAAACCAGACACCTGCTGAAGATCAAGACCGGAAGGACTCTGCAGATTGCCCGTCGAAAGGAAATACTCCAAAGCGTTACCGATGTTCTCGTTCGTCTTGCGGAAGATGTGCCCTGGGAACTGCTTTCTGAAACTCTCAGAGACAAACGAGTCGGTTGGGTTGCGCCTCAGATGGTCGCGCAGTGCTCCCCTCAACGCAGTCGACAGCAGGTCCTCAAGTCGCTCCTTTAAGATCATGCCGTATAGGAAACCGCCGAGCAAGATTTCTTGGTTCTGGACAGCGTCAGGATTGTCAACGGCACAATCGCCGGCGACAAGGGCATAGAGCTTTCGGCACATGAACAAGAGCATTTTGAACTTGTCCGTGTCCTGCTCCTCTGTGACATCGTTGCAGCCAAGGTGAACAAGAACCACCTTCCGTAGGAACTCGGTGCCGACCTCGTAATCAGTCATGGTGTCCGGCACGCCGAGCACGACCCGAAACTTTTGGCCGAGATAGGCTCGCGTTTGCTTCTTGGTGTATAGATTGTAGGTCTTGTACGTGCGTAGGAGAAGCTCGACACGATCCGTCAAGAAAGTGTTCTCCACCCCCTTGGAGGTGGGTGGGCCAACCAAGGACTCGAAGATCTCGCGATCGTTGGTCTCGACGAGTGCCTTCAAGATCATCATGACTGGCACAAGATACTCATTCTTCCTCCAAGAGAATCTGAATGTGACATTGCCGTCGTTGAGGTAATGGAGCACATTGGTCTGTGAGGTTTCGTCTGGCCGGACCGATCGTACTATGATACCATGCGGTGTGTAGGAAGGACCTCGGTTCGTGAAACTAGGACGGGTGATGGCAAGAGGGAAGTTCCTCTTGTTCATGAGCAGCAGACGGATAATCTTCTCGATACCGTTGATGACGAAATAGCCGCCCAATTCTTCCGACTCCTCTTTCCTCTCCACGAGCTGCGCGGGGCTGTTGTTTTCCAAGTGACACTTGTTGGACTGTACATTGGCAGCATTCGTTAGACAAAGCCTAGAATCCCAAGCCGTAAGAGGGGGAAATCAGCCTACCTTGACCATGATGGGCATTTGCCCCAGCTCACGGACAAACTCGTGGGCGTCGCCATTGTTGATACGGTACTCGAGAACGGCTGTGAGTTTGCCTCGGTAAGAGACATGCCGCTCTCTGCACTCGGCCGGAAAGATCTCTCGTCTCTTTGCGAACTTGTTGGACTGTGCAACCTGAGCTTTTTGGAGAGTGACACTCTTGTAGCGAACCGTCAACTTGTTTCTGCTCGCGGGATCGGCCCTTTCGTCACCATCGAGGAACGTCTTAGTCCCTATCTCGGCGATGGCGTGGTCGAGCAAACTTGGCTTGCCATCGTTGCGGAAGAGAGCGTTAAAAGCCTCGATGTGTGGGTTGACAGCCTCTTGAAGTGCTGGGTATGCGGTCTGGTCGGTAGGAGGGTTACGAAACAACTTCTCTCGGCGAAGTGTGTGGTACCCGTGCTCCCAGGTTGTGTTGGTCCGTTCGGGGGCCATTTTGGTTGCTATCGCGACACACTCCTGTGTCGGAATTCGAGATTATGTATGTTGGGGGGTCACCAATGGAGGAATTGGCAACAATCCTCGTCCGGGCTGGCACCGGGCTGTTTAAGCGCTCATACTACAGTGTGCAGTTTTCGGGGTGCGTGGTTGAGTGGTGGGTGGTGAGCGGTGGCTTGATTTGTCTGGGGAATGGATTCGCGCCTGCGCTTGGTGGTGAGCGTTGCACTGCAAGTGAACTTTTTTTCTGCCCGCCCCTCTTATCGCTTATCGGACGAACACCGCCAAGCAATGCAATGCAACAGGGTTATCCGTAGTCCTGTGGAAGCTACAAGTGGGGCAAGTACCACGAGCGGACTTCAGCACTTCTTTGGTATCTATCATGATAATGATAACCTCGAATTTTTGTTTGCTTCCCTTTTTTCGTCTCGAAGCTAAGTTTGGCCCCAGGTGAACAACAGCCTTGAACGAGATTTTATTTCTATGGCTCGACCTTCAAGTCCAGCGTGACCACACTTCAAGGCCCGCGCATATAGTTCCACAGATAGACTGGCCACATCATCTAAGCCTGGAAGCTTTCCACGGCTTGGATGCCTTCCACATGAACAGTCATGATGAAGCAAACTCTAAGCTAAATTCGTCAAGTGAACCCTAAAAGGTAAAGACTGATACTTAAACGATGGGCGCATCAATTTCTCCAGACCGGTTCCCTGGTCCCTCGCCAACCCTCGCCATCAACAACACCACTCACGAGAAAACTTCCGCGACAGCATGGAGACAAAACGGACTGGCTGGTGGTCCTGCCCCCAGGAAATTCAGGACATGATCCTCGACGAGGTTACCAGGGACAGAAACAGCTCCATCGCTCATTGTGCCGCTGTTTGTAGGAGCTGGCAACAAGTCATCGAGAAGAAAACTTTCGCCCGACTGACAGTTACATTGAAGAGATTGGGCGACTTCAGTAGCATGACCAAAAAGCGACGGCATCTTATCAAAAACGTCTGGCTTTCCATTGACTGCGCAGCAGTTGGCCGGCCTACAGACTTTGCGCTCTACAAGACTATCAGCTCCCTGCTCCTGGAGCTTAGCAAATGGGAAGCTCGTGGGGAGTTTCACCTCGAGATCAGTGTTCGCTGGGCAGCAGACTCGCACCAGTGCTTTCAGTATCTCCAGACTGGCTCGGATATCCACCATAGGGAAGAGCCGGACCGTACAATTTCTCCCGCCGATCACAGCGAACCAACTCGACGTCTTCATTCTCACTGTTTAATGCATCTATTTGCGCGGCTATATCATGCTTCGACCCGTTGTCTCTTTCCCGCAGACTTCCCTTCAGTACCAGCTGTCACTAGCCTCCTAGTGCGTCGGCAGACGAAATGCGAATGGATTAGCAGGGAAGGCTTCAATCGCCTTCTTGATCTGCTTCCTAATCTGCGGCAGATTCACTATGAGCCTTGGAGATCCCTGGAAGGCAGGAATTCAGTTCGCAAGACTCGCATCACAGTAGAAGGTAGGTAAATTTGACTCTTACATCTACACATCCATACTGATTCGATGGCCTATTATCCATCACAGGACTGCACAGAGCTATCTTCAGCCACAATATAGCCAAAGTCGTGGTTTTCGGTGACTTCAACGAAGACTTCGATGAGTGCTGGCGTGCGGATAGGCGATGGCACCGCGTACCTATATCGTCAAGTCGGACAAACCCTCGCATGGCATCACCAGAGATCGGACAGGCTTTTGCCCAAATCTCTCGCCCCCTCGTCCATCTTTCATTGTCATTTGCAGCAGATGCAAGTGACTTCTTCGAAACCTGTCAGCGCAGCTGGGTTTGGACGAGGCTGACCTCTCTTGCGCTCACATCCAATCTCTTGGCCCCAAAAAAGGACCCCAAGATAGTCAACGACATGCTTGAGAAGGCCGGCATCGTGGCGCTACAAATGCCAAAACTAGACGTCATGGAGCTGTGGAACGGCAGAAGGGGTCTCGCTTGTGTCTTCCGGTATCAAGCCTCTAGGGATCGCGCAGGCCACAACGCAAAAATCACATGGCGAAGCACCTGGCCTCTGTAGTTGGAACCCCGTGTGTGTAAGGCCTGGGCGGCAGTGGCAGTCAAACGTGACAAGCGGGAGGGAGAGTTCGACGTCGTCAAAGACCCGGAGATCCTGAATTTTGGGGAGGACGAGATCAGGTCACACGGGGATGCGATCCATCATTTGCAGCTTGTGAGCGAGGTGATCCGCCCGGTGTCGTTGTGGCAGATCAGGTATGAGTCGCGGTTTTTGATCGACGGGGCCAGTATTGGAAGAGAAGCTCCGTGTTGTTTGTTAAACTTGCCTGGGCGAATGGTTTGATTATATTGGCTGCCTGCCTGTATCGAGTGGATGACAAGTCCTAAAACGAGTCTTTCGGGTGCGGTGCCGAGGTCTTGGGGATAGAAAGATGTTCACTCAGTTTGATAATCCTTACTTTCTGGCAGAATAGCACAGATACTTCCAAACCGTATATCATGTATTAGTTTGCATCGGTGGTGTAGCGTTGCAATTTGCTGCCGCCATGACCCCCAATCATGGGAAGTTGACCTACCCCCTGTGAGATTGTAACCTCTTGAACAGACTGAACTGTGTATTTGGTGCTGCTTGCATCCTATCCCAACTTCACACCAGAAAGCCTCTGTGTTGCTCTTGGAAAGAACCCATGCCAAATATGCAGACACGGGACCTGCACTTACGCAGACTGAGTGGCATACGGCACACACAGTGAGAAGTCACCGTAACGTTCCTACCGTTGGCGCATGAGGTAGACCACCTGCAACCTGAAATATCTACCTAGGTAGCAATCAACACCCAGCTTGAGATGTAGAGGTGTCAACATGTATCATTTCTTTCAAGATCCACCAAATGCCGGCCTCTGCAGCTGTCAAAGAGCACGAAGGCTCGTACAAACATACCCCTGTCATGATGTAAGTGGTGTTAGAACGCCATCCCGTCTGCAGCGTCCCAGAGATCCCTCTCAATCGCACAGCGCCATTTTTCGTTCCAAGTAAGATGTCTAGATATCAGGTGCCTCGGAGGTAATTAAGGTTTGAGTTTGGAAGGCAACTGCATAAGGTACCCCCATTACGATCGCGGGGCAGTCACAGCCAGCCTGACTACCAATACCTACCCTCACTGCCCTGATCAGATTTGATGGTTTTCTCCTTGCACCAAACCTTTCACCTATCCTCCCATCTTTTTTGAACTCATCCTCGACGATACCACGTTTGGATGTGTGGTTTTTTATTAGCACACTGCATCCCATACCCTTGACAGCACCCCCCTGCTGCACTCTGCCGGCCGTGTGCCCTTTCTTTCTGCCCCCCCGCGCAACCGCTCGCTGCCGCCGCTTGGCCCCCCCAGGCTTTTGAGGTGAGGGCTCAGCGCAGCGCAGCACTGACACCTCCTGCAACCCGGTCGATCTGAGCCGCCGCTTTTGCCCATTGATCACAGACGATCGTCTCGTCCTGCCGACGTCTTTTCTCTGCCTCTTGTCCTCGTCGTCCAGCTGCTGCTGCCGCCGCTCCGCCCCCAGACGGCGTAAACGAATGAAACCTTGATCATAGCCGCTGTCTTGTTCGACATTGCCAGGGCACCATCATCAAGTCTTCACACGCACAAAAGGCACGGACCACAGCTTGAGGTGACTGCACTACCGTTACCCATATTTGGTGTTCCCCGGTGCCATCTCTTCCAGTGCCTTGTGTTGGCCGACCTGATCGCTCACCCGCACCCCGCGTCTGGCTTCTCACCGATCACAAAAAGGAATTCATTCTGTTTCCCATCTGCTGCGAAATTGCAACAACTCTTCGGACTCAGGTCATACGAGACATATTATCTTCTTAATTTTGCGCCGCCAGGGCCATCTCTGGGCCCAGCAGCTCACTTAAAACAAGCTCACCAACGACCTCGAGCCCTCTCTTTATCATCTACACAACAGCCCGGCCCACCTACCAGTTTTCACTTAAACATCGCGGCGTCGTTGACGAATCATGGCGGGGTTATTCAAGCGAGTGTACGACTGGCTGTTACGGACCTTCTGGTAAGCTGCGCACCTCCATGCATCCCGCGCCCCCGAGCTGCTGCGGGGCTTTTCCGTCTCTAAGCTCGTCGACGACGGCGACGGCGCATCAGGAGAACCCGGAGCTGACACAACCTCCAGGGCCACCGAAATGGACGTCACCATGATCGGTCTGCAGAATGCGGGCAAAACATCTCTGCTTCGGGTGCTGTCGGTAAGCAAGACCCAAAACCTACCTCCCCGGTACATGTGATGCTGATGACCTCTGCTTGCGCACAGGGCGGAGAGTTTGCCATAGAGTAAGTTGTTGACCACCAAGCAACCTTCCCACCCCTCCACGACCTCGATGCAACATCTTGTGCCCAGTTTCTCCAAATATCTCCCGGCTGACCATTCCTCGCAGCTCGATACCGACAGTGGGCTTCAACATGAAGCGGTTGCAACGGGGGCATGTGACGCTCAAGTGCTGGGACTTGGGTGGGCAACCCCGCTTCCGTCCAATGTGGGAGCGATATTGCCGGAATGTCAACGCTATCGTGTTCATTGTCGATATTGCCGACGTGGATGTGCTTCCCATGGCCCGCGAAGAGCTACACTCATTAATGAGCCAGCCAAGCCTGGATGGCATTCCATTGCTTGTTCTCGGAAACAAGTCGGATCTTCCAAACAAGCTCACCGTGGATGAGCTCATTGACGCCATGGATCTCAAGAACATTGCGCATCGAGAGGTGTCGTGCTATGGCATCTCGGCAAAGGAGGAAACCAATCTGGAGGCGGTTCTCCAGTGGCTGATGAAGTTTGCCAACAGGTGAGCCATCTCATTTCTGACATGGACCATTTGTCATTGTGGACATCTGGCGAGGTTGGATTCAGTTGGCTTGTTCACTGTGTGGACTCGAAGGGACGTCCGTTTCATCGTTTTCGCCCGGCATTTTCGTGAAGAAAAGGTTCATCTGGGGGGGCGACGACCGACTCAGAACTGACGTTCCAATTCGCAGCAAAAAATGATTTCGTTTCTGTGATATACGACACATCGCCCAGCGCCTAGCTGGGTCCAGACAGGAGCCGCAAGGCTAAGGGGGCATGATTAGCAACATAACTCATACAGCAACATATGAAAGTGGCGTCTGTCACTTTTTTCTCGGGGCAGTTGGGATGGACGGAATGGGTTATCAGCGGGCCAGGGCGTTTTCTTGTCTTTTTTGTGCGTATTTCGGGGAAGAGGAACTGGCGCGAAGCCTCGGTGTATTGGATAGCTCGATGTATTTTTGGTCTTTTTGTTTTGTTTCTTGCGTGGCTGTTTCATGGAACCACCACCACCACATTTAATCTTTGACGACGTATGATGATGATATGGCAAACCGAGCGGGTCGTTTTCCAATTGTGCTGTAGAATAGTGCCTTTGCACGTATCTCTGAGAGCAACGTTTTCGAGATTCTGTGCCAAGCAATGGCATGTGTGACGAGGTGAGTCTGTAGGGTAGGAGGAGGGGAAATCGAGACAGGGGGTGTGTGTGTTGAGAGGGCGCTGAGACGATGCTCCTCAATATTCACACATGGACGGGTTCGAGGGAAAACCACGACATGTGGGAAAAAGAAGACTTGGGGAAAAAGAAAAATGGGAACGGGACGGGACTCGAGAAACTTTCTATATAAAAGGGAAGAAAAAGATGTAAACCTTTTTCCCAAATTTAGTTTTTTGAAATTCTGAGGGGAGGAGGGACCCTGGGCCGTATTGACGTGGGAGGGCGTGATTGGCTGGAGAGGATTTATGTGGTTTACCACCGCCGGACGGAACAGCACCACCACCACCACCACCTTGAGAACCGCAGACCAGTGGATGGATAGATGGGCTTGGGTTTCTTGTCGGTGCGGCGCGCGCGCTTGGAAGGGAATGGGTATCGACTGGTTTGTATCTTGAGTGAGGTTGGAACAGGTAAGCGAGATTTACACTGACTTGGGTCTCTTTTGGTTGTGGTTGGGTAAGAGAAGGAAGGCAAGCATTACTTCACCTGATGGTACTGATATTATCTGTCTCGGGTGCTGTCTTGATGGCTGGCTTGCGTTGCCTGGCATGTCTTCTTCAAAGTGAGTGTGAGTGTAAGTGATATATGTTCATTCTCATGGATTCCCTGCAATATCCCACTGGGCCATTGAGCGTAAGATAAGATAATGAAAAGGAAATAGACCGAGTATGTGCCTTGTGGATGAGACCCTGGGCCGACGTCACTGCTTCTGGCGAAGAAACCGAGAGGGAAACCGAAACCCAGATTGAGGCCGCACATGATATTGGATTTGGTGTTCTACCCTCGAGTCTCCAAGCTGGTCGGCGTTCCCGAATCCCGGCTACGCTCTCACATTGACTCCCGGTTTCCCCCCCTCGTCCTTCCCAAATGCGCCTCGGAAGAGATCAACGTGAAGTTGGTGAACACGGATAGCATTGGGGACCTTCGGTTTATCTTTTTGGGAAAAACCAACGATCATTTGAGCTGCCTCTATACCCGAACTCCCCCCTCCCTTTTTTTTTTTCGTCGCTGAACATAACAAAAAACGGGCGCCTGATTTCACAATGATTCCACAAAACAGACTCCCGTCGTGAAAAGGTATCGTAAAGGTGGGGTCAACAACAAGAAGACTCCGAGTCTGATTCCTATCTCGGCCGGGGGAAACAACCACCAAACATAAGCGCGGAAGCCCCTCCTCGGCAGGCCATCTCTTCGGTAAGATGCCAAATATCGACTCGTATTCTGACCAATGCAATGCCGAACGCCGTCCGTGTCCACCCGAATCCTCCGCTTCCCCAAATGACCAAACGAACCACCGCTTTAACGGTAAGACTTCTGGAATCTGGAGCGGGCACCCTTACCACCGAACTTCTTGGGCTCGCACCGACGGGGATCGGCGACGAGGAGGCTGCGGTCGAACTGGATGAGGGAGCTCTTCAGGACGTTCTTGGTGTGCTCGTCGATGTACTTGGCGTAGTAGGCGACCTAAAAGGTGTTAAAAGTCAGTCAAAATCATGTTGCGGGTGCGGCGCTCGAGTATCGCTCGTCGGTTCGATGCTTCGGGACGGTACGTACAACAGCCTTGGCAATCTGTTTTCCCATTGTTAGCAATTTGTCCCTGTTCCCATTCTCGAGTTTTGTTGCGAGGTGATAACATACAGCCTGGCGCACAGCGTAAACCTGCGAAGTGTGACCACCACCAGCGACCTTGATTCTGATATCGATGGCAGCGAAGTTCTCGGTGCCGAGGATGAGGATGGGCTCGTAGAGCTTGGCCCGGAGGATCTCGGGGGCGAAAAGCTTCAGAGGCTTGCCGTTGACCTTGATGAGGCCACGGCCCTCCACAGCGCGAGCGACGGCTGCAACGATGGCGATGGTTAGCGATTTCGCCCTCGGGAGTTCATTTCGACAATTTCGGCAGGGCGATCAAAAATCGGCATACCTGTGGCATTCTTCTTCTTGCCAAACACCTGGACGGCCTTCTTTTCGTTCGCCATTTTGAGTTGCTGGCAAGAATGACTTCCTGTTGTTAGTTCGGGCAGGCTCAGCAGGCTGTGATTTTTCGGCTTCAGCTTGTCAAAATTTGTGTGTGGAGGGGGAAATCGGTATGGGGCTAGCGCACCTGCGCCAGTAATCACGTGTGTCAATGTGGCTAGTGGCAGAGTTTGTGGCTGGTGAACCTGGGCCCACCTGCACTCCAAAACCTGTCCCCACTCTGCCGAAGAGCCGGCGTTGAATTCACTTTAGGCCCACATTTCCCGGTGATGCTCCCCCCGATCCCATCCATTCCGTTTGCTGTCGTGCACCCCACTATCTCCGGTCGAACTGGCGTCCTCCGTTGTTGTTGCTGTTTCCAAGGGTTAGATTCACAAGGGGGGTTTTCCCCTTCGACTGTCCATCCTGTCAAAAAACCCGATAATTTCTCTTGTACCCTTGAATCTCCTGATGTTTTCAACATCCGGTCTTTTCATCTTTACATTGTACGCCATGGTAATACTGGAGCCGGTGGATGTTGTGAATGCCTACCTCTCACCTTGAATACGGATGTTTATTTTCATGTTGTGGTTGTTTCGCCAAGGCATGACAGTTCCGATCCGCTGACGACGTTGAACGATATGCTGTCATCATTGTGAGGCGATGCCAGGCGAGCGTACCAAAGCGTACTGAAGCCGTAAAGGCGTTTCTCTCACCGAGCGCAACGCTGCTGAGCCACCGATCCTCTCAGGCGTCTTCTTGCTCGGTCATCAGTGAAGGCATTTGGAATATCTTCCTAAGTGTGATTTGGAAGTTGCCCGCAGTTTCGGGAAGAGATGGAATGCTTTTCACCAAAAGACCGGCCGAGCATGGCGCATAGTGGTCGTCACCCAAGATCTTGGACAAGCTTGGCAGGCTGCCTCCATTAACCTCATTGGGCAAGTCATGGAACAAACGGAATCCCATTGGACCTCAGCCACCTCGGGCCACGTTATCGGTCATTCATTATCAGCGTGTGCCGAGAAATGTCCCACGGTGCAGTTTTCTGATTCAAGGAGGCGCAGTGGCATCATCTGCTCCCGCACCTTTTCGCTTCAGAAGAGTTGCTTTGGTGCTTCCGTTGCCAGGATCCACAGTGCTGAAACTTCTATTGGGCAGCACGTCACTCACTCTCAAGCAGTGCCTGTCTTCTTTGTTCATCTAATTCCCGCCACCCCTCTGCCAACAAAATCCTAGAAAACACATCGTCATCTAACACCACCTACATCACCACTACTTGCAGCAGCAAAACGTGGATTTTTAGACGTTTTCATCGATATCAGTTGAATCTCGCATTCGCAGAATCTACACAACATCGCAGATTGGAGCAACAGAGAAAAGCGATATCAAATAGCCACAATGGCTCCGCTCGTCTCTGATCAGCTGGAGAAACGCCAGTCGTAAGTCGCGACTTCATTTCAATCCCCCCGCGCATCAACCACACTTTATGCTAACGATTATCTCTTCCAGTTGTCCTTCAGGGTACTATTACGACAGGGGTTACTGCTACCGCAACAGCGCCTGGAGCTGGTGGGGACGATGGGTATTCGCAGGTCTCGCCGTTCTCTTCGTTCTTTTGGTGTTCGCGCTTCTCTTGTATGTTTCCCCTACTGTCTCTTTTATCGTCGCATAACGCATTGCTAACGTCTTTCGCAGCCGTAACTCACGCCGCAGAAGAAAGCAAGGCGCCCGACCACTCTACGGCACCGGCTGGATGGCACCCGCACCGCAGTACTACCCACCTCCTCCTCAGTACACCCCTCAAGACCAGAATCCCGCTCCTCCAGGCGGGTACAAATACAACGGGAACGATGGGTACTATGGCAATCCTCAAGCTGGAAGCAGTCAATATGGCAGCCCGGGTCCTTATGGTAACCAGGCGACGAGCCCCTACGGTCAGCAAGAGGGCATTCAGCTTCAGCAACCCGAGCATGCTTATCACCGTGGAGGTGACGCCGATTATGCCCCTCCTCCCGGACCTCCGCCCAATGCCGCCACCAAGCCTTAAATGGCTAAAATCCTGGTTTCGCGTCGTTGTTTGTCAGATGCTGGGAGGAATGAGTTCTTGATTATGGCGTTCAGGATGGGTTGGGTAAGGGATGTAGTTACACATTCCTGAGACAGGGTTTTTGCGTTTGGAAAAGGGAGATGATGAAGGGAAGATTCGAGACGATCCCTTATGGGATACCCCGTTTATGATGGCAAAACTTTCCTTTTTTGTTGTTCAACTACGCAGTATGCTGTTTTTTAGAGGTACACTAATTAATGCATGATATGGGTTGACGAGCCTCACATATGTTGTCGTGATATCAGAGTTTCGTGTATGATATCATCGTGCTGGTTGAGTTGCTCGGGTCGGACGAAAAGTGAGGAACACAGCCTGAGTCATGTGGTCAAGCAGGGCTCTCCCTGGGAAGAGCTTCGCATATAGGAAGACCAGGCCAGCGCGAGGCTTCAGCCTCTGAACAAACAACGAGCTGCAGCTGTAAGTGGCGAATAAGCCTTACTTACATCTTATATTGGTATGTGGTTGCTTGAGTAGGTCGGTGGTGGTCTTGATCATGGCTGATGTGCATTATGGTGCTCACGCTTACTGGCCCTTGGGCAGGCCGGTCCTCATCTTATCTGCCGTTTCGTTTATCAGATTTAAGACCTTTTCATCCTGTTCGGACTGGACAAGATATTCAGACGTCTCATCTCATAGCGTCGGACTTTTCCAAGGTTTTCCTCAATGAGCTACGTCGGAGAAGTGGCTGATACAAGTGAAGATTTTCAGGTCGAGTTGGTTGCCTCTTGAAAGATGTTCAGGTCTCATATTGCGATCACTCCGGTGTGTGTTTCGATGAGGGGGGGTAGTGTTGAGCGATGCAACTTGGAAAATTTGGTGCGGTATATTGAGATGAGATGAAGCTTTTGAGTGTAAATGACGACGCTCGTAATTTTATAAGTACATGTATAGAGAGGACAGTATTCGCTGGTTCTGTGGCCGCGTGTTGCATTGCTGCGAGAAAGAGGCGAAGGGAAATGGAGGCTTTCAACGGCAACATGTACCGAACAAAAGGACTGGGGACGGAACAGCGGAAGGTCGCTTTGACGATCACGAAAATAACAGGGGTTGGAAGAGGTGAAATTGGGCCGGCAGCGGAGTGTACACCCCGCCTTGGCTGGAAGCCGCTTCAACGAAACTCAACCTTGAGTTCAAGAAGTGTAGTGACAAGTGAAAAGAAAATGTGTCAAAATAAACAGGAAAACAAGGCTCCCATTGCATAAATATCAAACCGCCAGCAGGCTGAAGAAGTGCAAGAAGAAGACGTGCGAATCCAGTGACGATTGGACCCTCTTTGACCCCCGTCGGGCCGCAGGATCAAAAGACCCCACCCGTACCTGCAGCTTGCCGGCGCCAGATGAACGAGGGGCCCGGGCCAATGCGCTTGTGAGATTCTCCCCCCAAGGGCTCCCGTCTTTTCTTTTCTCCAACGGGAAACCCTCCTCCTGGTGCCTTCTCCTGAGCCAAAGGGCTGACAGCGCCCACTTGGTTTCACGTCTCCCTGAAGTGAGACGAAGCAGAACCACTCCTTTGGACACACTGTTCGTCCTGTCTTCGCAGGTCATCCTTCGGGATTTTGCCATTTCCGCTCTCTTTTCTTGCATAATCCGCGTTTGTTTCCCCTAAGTCCACTCTTTTTTCATGACTAGTCAGTTACCGACATCGCCAATCGCCGCCCACGATAACTGCTCTCTGCCAATTGAGGCCGTTGATGATTTTTGCCTCGATCGCGTTACCTACGACCACTTTCATTTTCAGCATTTGCCTTGCTACGACTGCATTTACTGTAACCAGAAAACCCAACAACCAGGTTCAACGCGCGACGCATCACTTTGAACTGTTTGACTTGCTTTCATCACTGGGAGGGAACTGGAAACCAAGACGGAATCACGCACAGAAGCTCAAGACGATCATACACGCGCGACAACCAGCCGCACAATGGAGTTGTAGCGCTCATTGTCTACTACGAATCATATATCATCGACATTACTCGTCTTACCCGTGTCTATTCGACACCGTGCGCTTGCTACGAAGGGGCCCTTAGAACTACCAGTGGGGCCCTTCGTTTTCCGAAGCTAGAACAACTCAACAAAACTACGAATATTCGTTATTGAGCAAAGCTTAGGACAGCTTTCAATCTGGGACAAGGCAAGATGCCTGCGGTAGATGTGGCTATGAGGAGGAGTGTAGGGGAAGGGTTCTTGGACTTGCTGCTCGCGCGATTCATCCGGCTCTCGTGCGGAGAAATCTTGAGGGACAGATTGGAGATGTCCGGGCAACATTCGCCAGTTTGAAGTGGACCATTTCTGGGATGTCGATAGTCAATTAGGTTAATGCCCGAGTGCTGCGGTGCTGGGGGTAGACGGCTGACGCGGTGGTGGTTTTGAAGGGATGAAACGGGCCCAAGAAACTGGGGGGTAACACAAGCACCCCGTGCCAGGGGCTTCTAGTTCTTGGGGGCGTGCAAAACAGT